TAATTACGTTTGCGGTCGTTTCGAGGATAGTGAGGTTTAATATAAATAAAGAAACATGCAATTAAACGGTTTTACTAATTTTCGATTTAAAGCTTTCGTGACTGCAGAGATTCATATCATTGGTTCTTTCGGTAAAGTCACGTAGAAGGGAAATAATAAATAATAAAAATAAAACAATAGAATTGTATTTTTTGTTTTTATATTTTTTTTATTTCCCTTCTTCGTGACTTTACCGAAAGAATCAAGAATATGGTTTTACTAATATTTTGTTTTACTCATGTTTTGTTTCGCGCACTAATGTTTGGTCAGTTTAATTGTAAAATTATCTCATTCTGTTAGTGTCAGTTTGTGAAAGAACATGCACACGTTTATTTCCAATATGAAATTGTGCATGCGCGTTTAACATTAATAACAATCATAATATCACGGCCCTTTATCAATTCGTTGCTGGATGAAGGGGCCTCCCGACGCTGTGTGTCCGTCATGGGAGTGGTTTAAGCATGCTTCACCAATCTGGTCAATGTTGGTGGGTGAAGGATGGCCAGCACCCTCTTCACAATATCACTCGCGGCAGATGTTAACCACAACCGGGAATTGAACTCGTCCAGGGTGCCTCTACAACTGTGTCACTGCTGCAACGTCCCACTCGTATTGTTAATTGTTTTGCTTTGGTTTAACGTCAACCGAATTCATTTAATGGTCAATTGCTCCGGTGATGAATGGTCACGTGGGAAGAAAAACACGATTCTGGCTTTAGACGCTTGTTAGAGTCGTTTTGAGAGCTAAAGGAGTTCTCTGAAAAGATTAATTGTAGGAGAGTGTTTTTCACCAAAACCGAATTGACCAGTCTGATCAAGTATGGTCAAACCACTCCCATAACTGACATAGGCCTTCATCCAGTCGTGGAATGATAAAAGGCTGCACGTTATTCGTATTATGTTCTTACAAATTCACCGCGTAAAAAAATGTGTAGTAACTGCTTTCCAGTTGTATCCGTTTCATATGCTCTTATTTTCACACGCTTGTATCGCCTAAGAATTCGCAACTCCATCCCGAAGATCAATCAAATGTATCTCTCTCAATGCGGCGTGCATGTCTAGGGTGTGTAAAATATGTTGAATGATACACTTCGCAAAACCACGTTCTGCTTTCACCTCCGCTGTGTCGCTTATGTCATTATTTTTCTTCCCCCATGCCACATTCTCAAAGGGGGACTGGAGCTGCGTGTCAGCCCATCTGTAGGACATCAAACTCGAACAGTCCTCCAGCGATGACTAAGGCAGTTTCATGCTTCCTCAAAGGCCGTCTGCCAAAAAAACAGACACCGAGATCCAATTTGGAGAAAATGTTGGCCCCGTATAATGCATTGATTCCTCGATCCGTGCAAGTGGGTGTATGCGTCAGCTCTTGTGACTTCATAAAGTATCCTACAATCAACACACAGACGCACTGTTACCATCTTTCTTAGCCACCCACAACCACTGGCTGCCACCCCAGGGGCTAGTTGATGGCGAAATAATGTTTGCCTCCAACATTTCCGACACACATTCCTGAATGCTTCCCTTGTCCGGCACACTCATTCCATACCAATAATCCGAACAGGCTGAGTGTCCCACGTGTCAATACCAATGATCAGTCCTGCCCAACCCACAATTGTATCGATTGAAAACATCACGGAGTTACAACAGCAATACTTCTAGCGCTTAATTTTGCACACCTGGCGGACCTGTCCCTGAGGACATCAATCCGCCCCGTCCAGCCCCGTTCCGACTGCTGTTTCAGGTTTGCGGCGTGCAGTATGCCACTCGCTATGCACGCTGCTTCATCCATCCACTGACAACTTCAGCCGTGAGTGTCCCGTTTGTCTTACGTCAACGGCCCGTGAGACATGTTGAGTGCGTGTAACACCAATAGACACCGAGATCCAATTTAACACGTAGCAGGCTTTCGCGACCAATTTATTCATAATCAACGTTTTTGGGTTTAGATCGCGTTATTTATAAATGTGTTGTAACCCTCCACCACCCGACACGGCCAATCAGTAAAAAAGTGTCACGTTGACAAAAGACAATTAGTTCACTGCTTTAGCAGTGGATGCAATTACCAGCGAAACGTCATACTCAAATTGTAAATGTTGTGGTTTCACGCTTCAATACACCGGTGGGCTAAAGCAGTGAACTATTTGTCTTTTGTCAACGTGACACTTTTTTACTGATTGGCCGTGTCGGGTGGTGGAGGGTTACAACACATTTATAAATAACGCGATCTAAACCCAAAAACGTTGATTATGGACCAATGGGGGGGGGGTTGGGGGAGGGGAGGGTTCACCTTGCCACTGTCTGCCGCAACCGCAATGCACGTCGAACCATCGCCGCAGCTAGGGGTGAGATCAACCTCGCCCGTGTCCCAAATTTCTCGGAGCTCTGAGCAGCGTGCGAATTCTAGCGGCGCCAGCATCCGCAAGCGAGGCGCGATGGATTTGCAACTGCGAATCCCAACATTTCCCGGACGGACAACACAGTATCATGCCTCCTCCACCTCCTCATCGGTTCAAAACAAAATCTAAGAACCTCTCGCAGTTGTCTCCAAGCACTCGTGTTCCCCGCCTGACTCCGTCTATTAATTCTAGATTTGAAGCTTTCGTGACTGCAATGATTCATACTCTTAGTTCTTTCGGTAAAGTCACGTAGGTAAAAAAAGGAAATTAAAATTAATATTGTTTTATTTTTATTAATTTTTATTTCATTTTTTTTACCTACGTGACTTTACCGAAAGAACTAAGAGTATCCGTCTATTAAAACCAATGCACTTTTTTTATTTCACCAGATAAGGCCCACTGAACTGTGTAGCTCTTATGTTTAGAAGCGACCTGGCCACCGCGAATGAGAAGGCTCAACGAAGTGGCTCGTCGCGTATAAATGTACAGCAGTACAAAATACCACGGGGAGAGAGACACGCAAACTCTCCTCCCCCCCCCCACCATTCTCGCTCCAACGCCAACCCCTGCTGCTCACTCTGCACTCCTCTCCTCTCTGTCCACCTACCCAACCCGCATCTCTCTTAATCGCCTGCCTTTGTTGGTGCTGCTCTGTTTCAACCATTAGGATGTGTGTATGCCGAACTTCTTTCGTACCGTACGTAGCCAACCATGCTAATCGGACGTGCGGTTCATGATCAGACAGCAGACTACACTGATGACCTCACCGTAATTAATTGCAGATAAGTCCCATTGTAGCCAAACATCGCTCATGGGAGACATCATATCGCAATGCATATCTCATCCAACATCCCTGACTAATGGGGGGTATCCTTCTAATTTACTTTGCTGATATTTGCATACCCCTTGTAGCCACCACCACCGGCCCCTTATTCTTGAATAGGGTTACCGTATTCTTTAAAGGGACTTATTTATCCGAGTTCTCTTTCCAATTCCTTGCTCGAGCATCAGTTGCTACACATGCGCTTATAAACAACTATCAAAGTCATTGTTAATCTACGATAGTTTACTTTATTTCCCGACAACGCCTTAGACTCATGACATTTAACTTTCAGCAGGAGCCTGCTTGGGCCCACTGGTCAATTCACTCCCCGACGGTGTTTTGCGAGAGGACAGAGAAAACCCCGCACTTATACGAGGGGTTAACTCCAAATCCGTTCTACAAATGTGATGCCGACTTGCTAGACTGCCTCGTAAGTTACCGACCCATTTAAATAGGCCGACAATTGTCTGTTAAAAGTTCGATCGCAACTGATTAGGTGTCACTATCCACATTACATGCGAGTGATGGCATACAGGTTAGCGAGCACACCTTGCTCTGAATCTAGTGTCCCCGAGTTAGATTTCTGGCCATGACTAACATCAGTGGCGATATCTAAACCGGTACTGGGTCCCCTCCTCCTACATGACATGGTGAAGTACGGTCACCAAACCCCGCATGACCAAATTCGGCCAGCAGTCATTTGACAAAGTGTCGCGCATAATTATTTTCTCTTATCCACATCCTACATTCCAACTTGGGTCTTGCACGCGCGTAAATGTAACGTTGATGCAAACCAAAAATTATGCTGTACAATGTGCTGTCTCGAAAATTGTCACTTGGCCACCGAATGCATTCGCATTCTGCTCCCGCGTGAGCTGCCGTGCACAACGCAAGCAACATGACATCAGCTGTGGTCCGCCCATTGTGTTGAACGCAAAAAAGCGGAGAGGAACTGCAGCCAAGGCTGTTAAAGAGCATCCAGCACAGTTTTCAGTTTCACAATCCAAATAAGTTATGGTGGCGAGTGGTGCCAATGCATAACAAACGCCGGTAATGTTCTCCAATAGTTTTCACTTGCTTGTGTCTTCCCCTGCACCCAATTTCCAAATCCCATCACACCCCCTCCGCCCAGTAACAACCCAGCACTCTCGCAGACACTTTTCCCCTCCGAAAGCCACCCTCGGAAAACACCCCCCCCCCCCGCTCACCGCCATCACATCCCACCCACCCCCCCTTCGCCCACTGAACCATCACCAATTCTGTCCGCCTCAGCGCCCCCTTTTTGTATGCCCCTGCTCCCATGCCTGTGAGAAGCCTTGGGTGTTTGTTTGGGGGTCAGAGTCGTGGGCCTGGAACTGAGCACCCCATTCATAGCACCGGCATCATTAAACGGGGACAATCGTGCAGGCCTTGTCTCTCTCCCCTATCTTCCCCCCCCCCCACCCAGAACACCACCACCCCCATCACGCACACGCAACACCCCTCCGTCATTGTGTGCCAGCCCCATTCACCGCCACACAAGAGTGGCCCTCAACATCGGCCGAGACGAGTGAATGCGCGACCACCAATGCTTCCAAAATCCCCGAATCTTGCAGTAATGTAACCCTGATAAATGATCTGAATGGTCTCATTTACACATCCTATGTCCGCGCTGCAGTTATGTCAACCAAGTGCTTGTGTGTGTGTGGGTGGGTGCACGCAAACTCCCCCCTCCCTTGTTATTGAGCTCCACATAAACACTGCAATTGTACACAAACTTTATTCACTTGTATATGGCATACCTTATAGCAAAGAGGACTATTTTAGTTCTTGAAACGTCATACATGTTGAAATTAAAAGGGCACGTTAAGGCGTATACGCAAATGAAACAACAAAAATGGGAACAAATAAGCAAAACAAGTTTTACAATGTACACACGTCAGATAACACTGCTTTGTTTTATAAACAACGAGTCGAATTACAGGTGCTGTTTGTTTTAAAGGGAATGTTAAAATTATTTATTTTCCTCTTTCCACTTTAAATAAGTGCTGTTTTTTTTAATCTAGTATTTTACCAACAATATAATAACATCCTTTGGATGTTAATTAGTAGCATCATGATTGTTTTAATATATTTATTTCATAGAATTTTTTTTAAGCTAGTAAAAATATATGGAGATTTAAACAATAAACAGAGGGAAACACATGCAGTGTACACGTTGATGCTCTCTCTCTCTGGTGAATGTTCTTAATTGACAGCTGTATTTTTTTGGAGACAATTAGACGATGATGTCAGTTTTTTGCTAACTATGGTTGGAGTATACCAGAAAAGATGTGGCAGTGCTATCAGACAATGATTAGGTTTTCACTTTCTTGGCTCCCTTCTCCTCCACCGGTGATTCTCCCTTCCTTTTCTGTGGACAGAAATGCACAAAGCAAAGATAAAGGCCCCCCCAATAGCCATAACAGACTGTTGGGGAAAGTGCTGTTAGCGAGCACCTATGAAGGCCGCCACGGCACACGAGGGGATGGGTGGCCAACACCACTCTCGTCCACCTTTGTGTCTGCAGTGGCGATGTTTACACACTGCACCAGGTACTCATTTGAGGCCGAGTCGACCTAGGGGAGGCCCAGGACTGGCTCAGATAATTATCGTCACCACTGGTGTTGGCTGTGAGCGGGAATCAAACTCGGGTCGCTGGGTTTGTAGCGCGGTGCACTAACCGTTGCACGGCCGCTCTCCACACAGCAATGCACACACACACATCCACATTGTAGAGTCTGCTTTTCAGATGGCAGGTTAGAAATACATGCTGAGTGTCCCAAACCACAGAACATGAGTTCAGCGATTGAGCATAGACACTTGCACTCTTATCAATGAAAACGTACTGATACATGGAACCGGTTATTAATCTCTGTTAAAATCACTTGCCAGTTTCTTTGGCACAAACTTTGTACCCCAGTCGGGCTCAATTTGTTCTTTCAAGTAGCTATTTGTGCCTGTTCCATAAACATTATCGACCAGCAGTGACTTCATAGCAATTTATCTTCCAATCAAATAACTCTATGACCCCAGATTTCATGACCTTCATAAGCCACATGCAATCCTTGAGTCATCATTCAAATCATTCCACGGTGACGGAATTACAACATAGGAGAAAGGACCTCATTGCCACAAAATTGACCATAAGGATAATTTGGGAATTTGCATTTTCTAAACGTTCTTACACAGCAGACTGGTGCGTTACACAAGAAGAGCCCATTCCACCGTGATGTCTAATCTGCATGTAACGTACTCGTAGTTCTGTTACTGTGACATAACACACGAAGCCAATTTATGTGAACACTCTATACGTATTATTCACTCAACATTCAGGAATTGGATGGCTGCTCGTGGTAAAAGGCTGGATCATAACTAATCTACGGAAATGCTTCTCTTTAGCAGCTTACCCATGCATTAAAGTTCTTCCCCATAAGTTTTCTGCTCATCCTCTTCTTTTTGTTCGTTAACAATGGATAGGAAAACAAAAGTAAGCTTGCATCAACGTTCAGGTCACTGGCCCCAACACCAAGTGTGGCAGGCCGTGTAACCGTTTGGTAACCTCTTGTTTTCAGCTTAAAAGTTAATTTAAAAGCAAAACGGAAGCGATGAGGCACGGTGGAGGGAGGATATCAGCTAAGCTTATAAAGGAAATGGAACAGGTGCCTATTTTGTATCTATGCTTGATACATTCCCATTACTTAGAATTTCCATTTTATTTTATATTCTGAAGCTTAACATTTTCTTTCTCTATACATTTAAGTGACAATGATTAAGCAAAGTTTCTTCATCACTGTTCTAAACAGTTTTTCCACTGTCATGTTAATCCATCTTGGTGCGTTTTCCCTTGTGAAGAACAGACACTGGACCTGGATACAGAGCACCGATTTGTCCATTCCACTTGATCCATGAAAATATAAAAATGTAAGATGCACGCAAGATAGAGAAGCAGTTAATTTTCACATGCAATGGATGTTATGTTCTATTAACATATTTTTTTCTAAGAGTGCCTACCAACCAGTGCTGAAAATGAAGGGATGAGGATGAAAGAACATAAGTTTAATAAAATATCACCTTCTTACAAGCACGATATATGCATTGAAACATGTGTAAGAATAATTCTTTACGTAAAATAGATGCATGTAAATTTCATTTAAAAGGAATGAGAAAGATTGAGAAACAAATAAAAAAACAAATAAAAACATGATTCTTGAATTGAACCATAACCTCAGTTCGTGACAACTCACTGAATCGCAAATTGGAAGTAGGGTGGGGAGGGGGAGCAAATCGTTATATGCGAGATGTTAGCTACCTCGTCTGGTATACAGGTCGTGGATTCAAACCCGACCCTGATGCCTGTATATTTGGAGTTTGCATGTGTTCTCCATGGTCGTGTGGACTTTTCTCTGGGTCCTCTGGATTTTCCCTCCGCATTTAGAAACGTGCATTTAGTGATACATTTCCACGTGATAAGCCACTTCGTTGAGCTATCATCTGTGGCCAGGTCGCTTCTGAAAAAGAGCTATGTAGCTCAGAGAGCTTTACCTGGTAAAATACATGTACAAAAATAGTTTCATGATAAACAGTGACCATACCGTGCCAGGCTTGGGGCCTCGTTTCTTCTTATCGGCTTTCTCCTTCTCCTCCAGTTCCATGTTTTCCCTTTCGATGAGGGTAATCAGTGTGTTGCAACGCCGCTGCAGCTCCTGCACGTGTGAACATTGTCATCCTTCAGTTGGGAATGGATCAGCACCATAACCATCACGTCATAATTCAGATCGTTGCTCATTATTGTATTGCCTTAAGGCAGCTGAGACCAGAGAGATGCCTACATAACTTATCACCGAGGTTTTTTTTGTTCTGTCACGAGCAAGCTAGCAATATTTCAAATGGGTAGCTAATTGTACTATTCCAGTTTTTCCCATAGTATCACGTACTAGACTATGCTTGAAAAGCAATAACTCTGACATCTACAAAAAAAACCATGCTTGATAAAAGTCCCACAGTACAATGTCAGGCAGATGACGTTTAATTTGAACTTGTGAACCCTGAATCCAGAGGCAAGCGCATAAACCACAAGGCCACCCAGCCATAAAAAACACACATTCACAACAGAGTACTTTCTTGTTGTTTTTTTCAGTAAACACTTTGCGTGGGGACTAAGCAAAGACACTTGCGCTGTGAAAAGTAGAGCCAAGGTTTATTTAAGCAGAAGCAACTTTGGTTTTGTAGGCTTGTTGGGGGTGACTAGAATGATGGAACAAGGGAACTAGAATAGTGTGTGAAAGTGCCAAAGACCAGTGCTACTCTAGCCATGTTAAACCGTCTTGGCTCATGAGAAGAGGTTTTCCCCTTTTTGATGGCAACAAAACAGGTGCTAAGATGTTAAAACACCAAACTGAAACCTTTTACAAGGAATCATGTCTGCATTAACAGTGCTTGTCTCTGGTGTGGACCAATCAGTTTCAAAGACAATGCATATATTATCAGAGTATGTTTTTTGTTTGCATTCTGACCACAAGTATTGTGGTTAATGCAGGCATGATTCCTTGTAAAAAGTTTTAGTTTGGTGTTTTAACATCTTAACACCTGTTTTGTTGGCAGAAAAAAGGGGAAAACCTATTCTCATATTTTGATACTGGCAAAGGAGGTCCCATGATGTAGTCTTGGCTCATCTTTCACAGTGCATGTCTTTCAAAACCACGTTATAAAATACCCTATTGTACAGCCCTTTTGTCAATCCACTGCTGGATGAGAGGCTCCCCACCCCATGTGGGTCATGGGGGTTATTTGACCATACTTCACCATGTTGGTCTGTGGAGGTCGGTGCAGGCAGGGATCATAGATGTGGGAGTAAATAAGTACTGTACAAGAATGACGTATGCTTCATTGCGCTCTGTTGCCACTGTGTATCCCCAAAGCCTATAACGGACTATCGAGGCTGATGCCTGCTTGGCTTCCAATATCTGATATTGGGTGCATTCCCATTAACTTAGTAATAGGCAAATAACATTTTCAATTAATGTATACCATTAAATGTGACATACTTGTTCTTTAGACACTATCTGGCTGGGTTATTGAGAAGGGGGGGGGGGGCAGTGGGCTGAGTGCTATGATGTGATGTGCAAGCCAGGCACCATCGCCGTGCGGGACTTGATGAACCAGTCGAAGCGGAACTGAGGCGCGTTGCGGATGCACTGGCGCAACTCGTCGTAGACGCTCTCCTTCTCGAAGCCCAGCCGGTGCACCATGCACACCAGGAAGCGGTCCTCCTCCTCCGTGTAGTTCTTGCCCTTGTTAGTGCCATACGAGATGCGCAGCTGGTAGAAGGGCGCCCGGTACCGTGCAATCTGTAAAATTGCAAAGACAGAGATACCCTCCAATGTAATCGTATAGATTGCTGGCGCAAGTGTTGTTGGTAAGCGCCTATTAAGGCCCAGAATGGCATGTATGGGTCAATGCTATTCCTGGCCATATTTCTCTTTCATACTGATGTTAACACACCCCATCAGCTGCTGAATTTAGACCGAGTTGACATAGAGATGAGACCAGCTTCAGTTTCCACTACTACTTTTGATGTATGTGGCATGTGCAAACAACGTTACTGGTTCATTACAAATATATCTGCAAATGTTTTCGTTAACGCATTGAGACCTGCGTTAATGATACTCTGTAAAACTATGCTATGTGTGTGTGTATATATATGCACCAGGTATAACACATAGTACAGAAGTTTGGGTGGTGTGTTGAAGGTATTGCTAATGGGTACTTGCTCTTGTTGGCACAGCATATACAGTAGTGACACCGCACTAAGCTGCCCTAGATACATAAAAAGCATATACAGGTAGTCCCCGAGTTACGATGGTCCAACTTACGATATTTCGATCTTACGATGGCGATAGCGATACGACAAAATTGCCATCGACAACCTAACATCGTTCAAGTATGCAGTACAGTACAATATGATACGTTACGATAGGTTCAATGCATGTATGATACGTAGCTTTAGCGATTTCATTTTAAGGATACCACGATACGATATGCTCAATGCATGTTAAAAGTTTTTATAGCAGATAAGATTGTTTCCTGAAAAAACTTTCTATTAAATTGCAGTTCATATAGGTAGGCTAAGAATTTACCTTGTTTTTTTTACTTTACATTTTACTGTGCAATACAGTATTGTAATTAATAAATACATACAGTATATAGTTTATACAGTACGGTACTGTAAATTGCTCTGTTTTGCTAAATTATCACCATTCTTTCGATGTAAAGCTTTTGTGACTGCAGGGATTCATCTTCTTGGTTCTTTCGGTAAAGTCACGCAGAAGGGAAATAATAAAATAATAAAAATAAAACATAATAAAATAATTCTCATGACGTTTCGGCCACAACGCAAGCAGCCGTCCTCAGGTGAAGACCAGGTCTGTCGGGGAGACAGCATCAGACTCTGTCTGACGCTGTGTTTGTGGCCGAAACGTCGTGAGAATTATTTTATTATGTTTTATTTTTATTATTTTATTACTTCCCTTCTACGTGACTTTACCGAAAGAACCAAGAAGATATCACCATTCTTTAAGACTCCTGGGTAGGCTAGGCCATCTTCGACTTACGATATTTTCGACTTACGATGGGGTCGTCGTAACGCATCTCCGTCGTAAGTACTACCTGTACACATATGCACATGTAATGAGGTAGCAGCAATGTTCACAGGACAGTCACCTTGGCATCCAGAGCCTTCTTAATGCTGACCCGCCGCTGGATTCGAGCCTCCCCACGCTCAATCTGGGCCATGATTCGCTCAATGTCTTGCAGCTCATTACACCTCTCCCAGAACACAGCTGCACGACATGAAGCATGGTTACACATCACTCTAGGCACTTACGCTGCTAAACAGATTTCAACAAGTGATTACTTTTATTTGGGATGTTACAAATCATCCCAAAGCAAATTGGTGAATTGTTACAATTCACTCATGCATTCATGATTTCATTCAATTATCAATTCCTTTATTGCGATTGTGGTCATGTACAATCTCCCGTGGCTGCTGGGTTTATGTGAACCAATCTAATAAACCGTGCAGCAGCACGGGGACTCTCCCAGGACTCTCCGACTGCTACGTTTGCTGTGGCGATGTGGGCTGTGGACAGTGGGTGGTAATGGTTTAGGGGGGGGGGGGTGTTGAGATTGTTGGTTGTTGCCAAACTGTTCGGGCTGCTGTTTATCCTGACGTTGGTCAATGTCCCTTTGTCATTCGTCGTGTCTTTTCGTTCTCTATTTCTTTGCCTTGATGTGTTTTTCACGTCCTGTGTATCCGCGAGTCGCTTCGACAAGCTCTGGCATTTGTGCAATGATACGTGCAAATCCTCACTCTTATGTGTTGCACAGCGCTGTGTGGGATGGTAAAGGTTCCATAAGTACCTGAGTATTCCATGACCTCCTCAGGGGTTTTCCCCTCCACCTCCTGAGAAATGTTCTCAATGTCATCGCGACCCCACTTCTCGTTGGCCTTGATGAACTGGTTGAAGTCTCGCTTGGTCCAGTTTGTAAAGCCCTGCTAAGTTCAAGATGGCAAATAAGGTTAAATATTAATGTGTGTAATAGCATTATTGGCACAGGTAGCCTATTGGGTGGGTGCCTGTTGTGCACAAAGTATTACATTCGATACAATTGCTACACCGCTTGATTTTCCAATCCTAAATGCCTTTGCTAAACATCCCGAGTACAAAGTTAAATAGAAATACAAAACATTTAAATAGGGTTCTTTATAGAAATTTCATGCCTCCATTTTACCTAACTTAAAAACAATAACAAATGGTTGTTTGTGACATCCCTTAACTTAACAACACAAACTTGAATCGATGATGGTATGAACAAAGATTGCCACACATCAAGTAACAAATGCATCAAATTGTTTAGGTTAGGCCAAAAAACTAAAATCAGTTGTGAATCATAGCGGATGAGAAAACCGATGCGTTAATTGAACTGCATAATTGCATCATTGAGTCACTGCAGAGTAAACAAAATCCGACATGAAAAGAGAGGCAGGTGCTTGCTCTCAATCAGTGGATCCTTCATTCTGGTCAGGCTTTAGACTTGCACAAATGCATGCATAGAAACACACACACACACGCATAAACGGGCCTACATGTTAGTCAAGCACTTACACCCACAGAAACGTGTTCCAGCGTACGCATAACTGATCGGCAATATTTCACAGCTTAATGGTACGTTTTATTTTCAAAAATCACTTTTTTTTTAAGTTGTGTTTTGGGAAAGCATATGAAGTGTCCTCAAATAACTGGACAGATAGGCAACTATTTTACGGGCATAGCAACAGGCAGATGATCCAGGTGTGTGTGGGACCTGCGTCAGAAGCTTCTCTTTCTCCTCCGCCTCCTCTTCATTCAGTACGTCAGCCTCGTCAATCTTGCGCTGCTCCTCCTTTTGAACCTGGGCGGCGTTGGGGATGTCTGTACTACGCGGGACCTGCACGCGCACACACACACAAATGGGAAAACGTAAACATCCTTCTAAATCGAGAATGACTTCTACGAAAAGTGCCGTTAAGGAGCACATACTATAATCGGCACGCGATATTATATTGCGGGACAGGTGGTAGGGACAACACAATATCACTAGCTACACCGACAGCATGCCATGGTCAAAATAATGCTCGCATGCAATTGACGTAGACACGTTGAATAATTCAAATGTACCAATGCACCACATTTCACCTTCCCTCTTTGAGTAGTGTGTGTGTGTATGTGCATGTGTGTGTATGTGCATGTGTGTGTATGTGCATGTGTGTGTATGTGCATGTGTGTGTATGTGCATGTGTGTGTATGTGCATGTGTGTGTATGTGCATGTGTGTGTGTATGTGCATGTGTGTGTATGTGCATGTGTGTGTATGTGCATGTGTGTATGTGAGTGTATGTGCATGTGTGTGTGTGTATGTGCATGTGTGTGTATGTGCATGTGAGTGTATGTGCATGTGTGTGTGTGTGCATGTGTGTGTTTGTGCATGTGTGTGTATGTGCATGTGTGTGTATGTGCATGTGTTTATGTGCATGTGAGTGTATGTGCATGTGTGTGTGTGCATGTGCATGTGTGTGTTTGTGCATGTGTGTGTATGTGCATGTGTGTGTATGTGCATGTGAGTGTATGTGCATGTGTGTGTGTATGTACATGTGTGTGTATGTGCATGTGAGTGTATCGCGTTGCAATGCCTTGTAGCCGATGGTTTTTCGGTAGTGCAGGATTTCTTTCTCCAGGAGCTCAAAGAGGCGAGGAGGGAAAAATTGGAAGTCCTGGATGCTTGGCTGCTTTGGTGGCCGGGGGGCCTGGCCACAGGGAACGCACAAGAAGCAAGGATTGTAAGAAACTCTACTCGAGTGTTCGTCCAACCTGAAACGGGTTACGCAGACTCTTCTGCCTGCCACACAATCTAGGAATTCAATACATATCAGTGATGAAGAGTTGAGTAAATGATGCAAATTCCAATGTTCTATAAGGCATAAAAAAGCTGAAATATGGCGTAAATATAGGCAAGTCTATGCATATAACTCGTAAAATTCTAAAACAAAACAACAATGATTTTGCAACTCCCAAAATTTAGGAAATTATTTTCCACCTCTTTGTTTTTGAACCCATACATTTAAAGGTTTTAAAGAGTTCTGAATCCAAACATCACATTGTGTCCAATTTTATCAATATCTCAATTACAAATATGTATGGCAAATATTTAGACATTTGTTTGTTTGTTTTTAATGCATTGCTATGAAGGTTTGTGTCTTGAGATTATAAAGCGTGCTGAATCCAAATATGGCATCGTATTTCGATTTAAAGCTTTCGTGACTGCAGGGATTCATCTTCTTGGTTCTTTCGGTAAAATTCAGACGCTGTCTCCCCGACAGACCTGGTCTTCACCTGAGGACGGCTGCTTGCGTTGTGGCCAAAACGTCGTGAGAATTATTTTATTATGTTTTATTTTTATTATTTTATTACTTCCCTTCTACGTGACTTTACTGAAAGAACCAAGAAGATGGCATCATATTATCGATAACTACATTTTTTGTTTGAGTGTGTGACCAGAAAGCCAATATAAGGTGGGAGAAGCCAGTTACTAATTTGACATTACCGGCTCATTCAACACACTTCTGTAGTATGAAGGCTTGGTCTTCTTATACAGTGCACCCATTGTTGTAACTAAAACACTGCAGAGCAATTACACTATGAGACCTCCTTTACCAGTGGCAAAATATAGTAGTAGGTTTTTACCCTTTAAACTGGTACAAAACTGACACCTTTATACAAGGCATCATGTTTGCAATAACCACAACACAAGTAGTCAAAATGCAAACAAAAAGAAACAACTCTGATGATGATAATAATATGCACTGTCCTTGAAGCTGATTGGTCCACACCCGAGACAGCTTTCCTTAGAGCCTAGTCTCCATTGGTGTTGTGGTTATTGCAAACATGATGCCTTGTATAAAGGTGTCAGTTTTGTACCAGTTTAAAGGGTAAAAACCTACTACTGCAGAGCAAATCTGAGCCAAACTGAATGTCCAGATTTGAGGAGCACCCTCAAATATCAGCAAGCGAATTGGCCGGTACGCAACGAAAACAGAAAAAAAGCGGAGTTGTGTGACTGATGGCAGAGGTGCGAGAGGTACTTTGGGTGCCTTGGGCTCGCTGACTCGCAAAGCCTCGCGGAAATAGGCGTCCACAGCATAGTTTGCCTTGCGCTCACGCTTGGGAGGTTCAATCCACTCCGTCAAGCTCATCTGAAGGAAAGAGATTGGAAACGTTGAAGTCTCGAAGTTATACATACGTATGTAAACTTTGACAGGTGATCGTCAACTTTCAATGTCACCTAAAACTTGTATAGAAAAATAAATTAAAAGTCGGGGTCTGTTAAAAATAACACATTCCTGCGGAGGGAGCTGGTAGGAACGTTGGGTTGCTCGGTCAATGGCCAGGGTCAACGGCGGCGTGGTGTATTCCGCAAATATGGCCGACTGTGAGGGCGGGCACAAGCCGGCGTGAGTATGTTAAACGTTGAGTTTTATAAGGGCACCACGGGGTGACCAGCCCCTCCCCACCCAGCCCCACCCCTCCCACCCCCCACCCAGCCCCACCCTCCCCACCCAGCCCCTCCCCACCCTCCCCTCTCCACCCAGCCCCTCCACACCCTCAATACCCAGCCCCTCTCCACCCTCCCCACCCTCCCCTCTCCACCCAGCCCGACCCCTCCCATTTTTGGATGCACGACGGACGGACACAATAATCCCCTGTGGGCCAGTGGAACCAGGTGATTCCTACCAGCATTATTTAAATCTTACAAGAGTGGATTACAACGATGTACATTGTAACGCCCTACTTTTAGAAAATCCTCACGTAAACCATACATTATTTCAAGGGTATATCCATTATTCATGACCATGAATAGTAACTATACTGAAATCAGCACATCATGACTATATAAACACAAATGCACTAAGCATCCCTACATAGAGTAGAAAAAAACTGGAAGCACGTCAATTTTCTAGCTGAGCACTGGGCGCACCTTTTGCTTCTCTCTGTAGTCCTCGCCCTCGAACGTGTACACGCTGCTCTCCGAGTCCATAGTGAAGTTGCGCAGGGAGCTCTCGCCCAGGCTGCTCAGTTTCTCATTCATCTCGGCCGTCTGCAACAAAAGACGCAACGCGGTGAGCGAGGAACTGCCTGCTCACAAGTGTGTACGCGGGGAAGTATGGAATATAAACTGCTTGTGTCCATGTAATCCAGTTTCATAGCCAACTCCGTACACCTGCTCGGTGAGGTATCTCATGAAGCCGAGTTTTTGTAGTTAACGTTCTATGAGCTGGATGCAAGGCAAAGTTGGTCACTGCGTCGCGCACTTTCAGATGCGCTTCTGCGGCCGTCTGGAAAGCTCTTCCTTCCGATATTAGAAAGCCACTGGAGCTACGCACTTTTAAATATAGATTGACAACTCATTTCTTTAGAACTGCTTTCTGTGTTTAGTTTGTTGTCCTTCCCCCACACCCCCGAAAAGCACAGTTGGCTACTTACGGCGCGAAAGAAGTTAAACATACGTACGTACAAGGCCATGTAACAAGTCGTTAAAGCGTATACCCTTTTCTCTCCCCGCTCCAGGACAACGTCGATCTCCTCGTCGGTTATCTCGCTGTCGCGCGACGCGAATACGTGCGTGGCGCCGTGCCGGATCATCTGCAGCATCTCGTCCTTGCCCAGTTTGTTGGCCTGCTGATCGATCAGCCGGCCTGCGCACACAGTGAGATGTATGTATGTTGAACTTCTTTCACACCATATGTAGCCAACTGTGTGGAGGTGCGGGAAGATGGCAAGCATTAACCTAGGTTAGTTAAACTCTAAAGCATATATGCTTACACACCCTACATACAATAGAGTCAGTAGTATCTGCACACATGGAGGGGGGAGTAGGAAGACAACATCAGTGGGGGCGACCGGCGAGGTGCCGAGAAGCCCTCCGTAGGAGCTAGAATAAGGCCACCAAAATTCTAGCATACTCTTTGATTCTTTCAGTAAAGTCACGTAGGTAGAAAAATAAAATAAAACAAAAAATAACATATCACGACGTTTCGATCGCAACACAAGTGGTCGTCCTCAGGCGGAAAAAAATAATCCAGCAGTGGAACTGCTGAACCAGCGAGAGAGCTGTTACAACAAGAGGTTATTTACGTGGCGATGGGCTTCAAATCAGGGTAAAAATTCTAGCACTTTAAAGTTACAGTCCATTCCATTATTAAAAAGTTATACAAAGTGCAACCCCCCACCCCAGATGTGGGGGTAAAAAGTTGCTCCAAAAGGTTTCCAAAAATTGTCAACCTCCCCAAAAAGAATGTTCACTCCCCTCACACATTTTAATACTTCAATGCACATTACGATGGTGCTATGAAAGAGCGCCTGACTTTGATTTTAAAGTATTTTCTTCTCTTCAAAAAATCTTTCAATTCACCTCACGCAGCCCAGGACATGAAAACTACGAATGTTCCTACAAGACTAAAGCGATTTGTTTTTGTTGCTGCATCTTCCTTTAAATGACACCACGAGCAAGAGATGATGAGATGGGAGGTCAAAGGAGCGACACCTTGCTGTATGACGATAGAGTCAAGGCGCAGCTTCATCTCTGCCCGCTCCACGATGCGCTCTTCGACCGTGTTCTCCGTCAGGAAACGGAACACACGCACCCTCTTCGTCTGCCCAATGCGGTGAGCACGATCCTGATTGGCGGTGTGGACAGAAGATGAAAAAAATATTTAAACAAGCGCACAAGTGGACTAAACACTGCTTTCCAACATCCGATTGTCCTTAGTAGTATTTAATTATAAATATTGCTGCAATTTCCACCGACATAATGAGATATCACATGGCACATAGCGTGACGAGATGATGTTGCCCATGATGCCATGCATGACGTCACGAGAGGAGGCGTGGTACACGCATTGTATGTGATATCATCATCGACTTGACCAAAAAGGCATTACCAATTATCGCTGCTTTTTTGCCAAAATTTGGGTAACCCTTTCATGAATTTGGTACGTTTTCAATCGGGAAAGTCCCTATTAGGAATGCAACTTTATACTAAAACTTTCTTCACATTGGGCGATCTTTACGAGAGTTATCGTGACCCCGTGTTACAGACGGAAAAAGGAAATGCATTAACGCCTTCAAATTTAGTTGTAGAGTGTTACGTATGCCAGTGGCGGGAGCTGGACATGCAATTCATGTCCAGGGTGTGTAATCGCTCCACCTCACCATGGCCTGCAGGTCGACCTGAGGGTTCCAGTCTGAGTCGTAAAGGATGACCACATCAGCTGTGGCCAGGTTGATACCGAGGCCACCCGCACGCGTCGACAGCATGAAGATGAACTTGGAGCTGTTGGGAGCATTGTATGCTGCAATGGCCTCCTACAGCACCACCCCAACAACGCATAATTTTAACATCAATATCTTTAACTGGAGTGTCTTTGGAAAAATCAACAAGGCATTTACTAACACCTGGGTTGTGAGCCAGACAATGGCCATAATGGCACGGTCAACTGATAAAAAACTACACGAAATTATAATCAATGCCATTTGCTTCCCGAGGAAAAATCAAGGACTCTCAAGACTAATTTTCAGCAGGGTCCTGCATTGGAATGTTTAACCATTACCAATAATGAGTGCTTGGCATGTGGGAAGAAACCGGTGTATCCGGAGAAAACCCATCCGATGCATACGAGGCGGTGACACTCAAGGCTCAAACCTGTCTGTCTTCATGAGGAGTTTGTCCATCCAGACGGCAGTACCCATAGCCTTTCCACATGCAGTAGTCCTCCAAAATATCAAGCATGCGCGTCATCTGACTGAAGAGCAGCACGCGGGAACCTACACAAACACACCCATAAAGACCCATTCAGAGGACCATCCCCCGACTATCACCATCCATTCAAAACCAAAGCCTTTGACAGAAAGCTGCTTGTGAAAATCCTGTATCATGGAACAGTTAACAGTGCACAACCTTCACAGTTTAACGTCATGTCCCCACCGTTTACGCTCAAGACTTGGTGTACCTGTGCATGATGCGCACATTGTCACAAGGTATACTCAGCCATCATGACACAAAGTCAGTCGTGACTCTGACCCTGCTCCTGCAGCTTGGGCAGCAGCTTGTCGAGCACCACCATCTTGCCGCTGTTGTTGACCAGGTGGGTGTCCGTGGTGTAGGGCGGCCCAGGCTCAGCGCCGTCAAACAGGTACGGGTGGTTGCAGCACTTGCGCAGCTGCATGAGGATGTTGAGCAGGCGTAGCTTGTCCATCTTGCCGGCCGAGTTCAGGATGTCGATGTCCTTCATCAGGATCCTTGTGTACCTGCAGAGGTCAGAGGTGACAGCTCACTGGATGAACCGTGCTGCACCACGTGTAAAAATTACTGCATGCTTGTTTATTTAAGTGCTCAAAAAAATCAGCATACAAGCTTTACGCATCATCTCTTTCAACATGAATTGTATTGCAGGCAGCCTGTGTACATGCTTGCACTCGAACAGTTTCATATCTGCATGAATTACCAACATGTAGTGTATATTATAACAAAATGTGAGCATCGGAACATTACAATGCTATTGCCATTAAATGAAAGTATTGCTTAAATCACATTCCCTATTAATAATTTAAATGTACACACAATAATACAATTTATGACGCACGCAATGTTCCAGACCAAAGACGCAATTCTGAGGCGCGGAGCCGAGCTCAGTGTCAGATGGCGTCGTGCGGTCCGGTGAGACTCAGGTTAAATGTCGAGCTGAAGAGATGCGCCATTAGATGGTTTTTGAACGAAGAAAATTATTGATCGTTACAGATGTGAATAGGGATGGCGTTCCAAATGACGGGGGCTGCGACGGAGAAACGACGAGAAGCAATTACAGTCCTTGTCTTGGTAGGTTCAAGTAGGCTCTGCGTCACACTGCGAAGTTGTCTACGATTCATTAAAGTGTAAGGCATCAGCAGAGAACTTAAGTATTGTGGGTAGCTGGATTTAAAGGCGCGGTAGCAGAGGCAAGCGATCTTGAAAGTAATTCTGGTCGAAATGGGCAGCCAACAAAGGACACGAAGGATGGACAGGGAGTCAGGGCGAGGGTTGCAGGGACCGTAGACTGTTTTACAAAAATAATGTGACTTAAAAATCTAGCATATGAAATGAAAACGGTGACGCAGAATAAGCTGGAAGCAGTTTAACACATTAAAGCATTCAGCGAGTAACTTACCACTCTCTCTGCATTTTGCTGAGGCCAATGTAGATTTTGACTTCCTTTTTTGGCTGAAGACTCTTTTCCACATCAGCCTTGATACGGCGCAGAAGGAAGGGCCTTAACACCTGTGTGAGAGTGTCATTATCAGCCCACTTAAACACAGACATACATGCAAAAAGTGATGATAGATCTTTCAATCTTAGGTTACCTGAAATGTAATTGTCTTTTTGTAAGTTGTGATCCCAATCAGGCAGATTGAATAGCACATGTAATCTACCAGCCCTTCATGGACTCACCATATGTAGACGTTCCACCAATTCCTGGTCTCCCAAGCAGTTGTTCGTGTCAAACCAAGAATCAAAATCCTGAAATAAAAGAAACAATAAATGTATTGCTGTATCTACATATATAATAACAGCCGATATATTAAAACATCCAGCCTTTGTTATGCAGTCTATTCTTAGTCTTAAGCCTCACCTTACCATATTAATAAAAAGTATGCAGGCCCTTGCTCCACCACCTTCTCCAACCATTATATAAACGGAGTGGTAGCTCCTGCAATCTCTCATTTACTTGATACAGCTGTCGTGGCTGTGACGGTACCACCTGAAGACGGAAGCTTGTGTTGCCTCCGAAACGTCGTGATTTTTTTGTTTTATTTTTTATTTTTTTTTACTTTTTAATGTTTTTACCTACGTGACTTTACCGAAAAAACCTAAGAATATGAATCATTGCAGTCACGAAAGCTTCAAATCTAGAATCCAATGGATTGCACATTTTTACAAGGTTGGTGAGTAGGTAGTACATGTATTTCTCAATTTTATTGAAGATAGTGAAGAATGTATTGAATTTGGTAATTTTTCTGCCACATTACTTTTCCTGACCTCGGATGAGTTGAAGACGTCGGGCAGCAGGAAGTTGAGCAGGGACCACAGCTCGTGCAGGTTGTTCTGCAGAGGCGTACCCGTCAGCAGTAGTCGGTTCGTCGACTTAAACTCGCGCACAATATCCGAAAGCTAGAGAGAAGGACCAGCGCACCGTCACCAAACCATTACATTCACGATATTTATGGCTGTGAAAGTCAATGAATTAATAAGAGGTGTTAAAGACACTGAGTTGACTGAAGTCTACATTCAAGGTGTCCCCTTGTTCAAATGAGTAACAAGATGGCACTCATTCTTATTAGTAGCCAAAAATCTATTATGTAAATTGCACATTCCCATGGTGGGGATTAATTTATTCTTGGAACAAATACTGTAAATTTCCCACTCTGAGCAGTGCTACTTATATTAACCCCGGAGGGACGATAGGCTGAGTTGGCCCTTAATGGAATTGAACCCACAACTTTCTGCAAGTCAAGTGTTCTAACGATGGTAGGGCACTAACTGGCTGGATGAGTTGATTGTAAGTGCACTGGTGTTCCCTGGGACAGCAGCTGACCTTGGATTTCTCATTCTTGATGCGGTGCGCCTCGTCAATGACCAGGTATCGCCAGTTGAACTTCTTGAAGACGGACTTCTCGCGAATGACAATCTCGTACGAGGTGACACATACGTCCCACTCTCCCGGCATCATGACATCCCGGATGAAAGCCGACTTCAATGTAAATCCAACAAAAGGAGTCAACAATATAACAGAATTGTGAGCACACGCTCTTTTAACTTGAAAGTGGCATGACAGTGGCAACTTGTGAAACCCTTGTTGTCAATGTCACAACAAGTATTTTTTTTTAAATCAGTAATTTTGATTATACTTTTTGTGTACACATTCTCAATGAAAAACTACAACCTGACTTTAAAGGACATGTACAGCCATTCCACTGCTGGATGAGGGTCTCCCCATGCCTGTGGGATATTATACCAAACTTAACTACACTGGTCAGTTCCGGTTCAAGGCGGGCAGAATAGACGTGGGAGCAGCTGTTGCCACCACATAGCCCTGCAGCCTTATAACCCGATTATGATTGGTAGTCACTCATCACAGCACTATCCAGACTCAATCCTGCTTAACTCCATGAACTAACGAGATCAGGCATATTGTGGGTGATATGGTAAATGGACTGCCATTTTTAACCTCCCATTATCCCATAAAATCCTTTTTTTTCTTCGTAAAACAGGAAAGAACTGTCTAAGAAATAAAGTATGACCCTTGGGGCACACGTGAGAGCGCATCCTAAGTCTCCCGCACTTTCAGTGGTACACTGAACTTGAAGCTGCCAACCGACTCAAGGGACGCACCCGCTGGTCCTTGCTTCCAATGAGGCAAACGGCACGAAGCGATGGCACCCAACGCTCAAATTCAATCATCCAGTTGTGCAACGTGGACTTGGGCACCAGCACCATGTGTGGTCCCTGGATGTTGCGGTGATGCTTCATGTAGCCCAGCAGGGAGATGGTCTGCAGCGTTTTGCCCAGGCCCTGGAGACAAAATCAAGGCACTTAAATATACAAACTTGCCAAAAACATATTGCGTGATCTAAAGTGTTGGATTACGCATACAAGAAAGAGCACTAGCTATCATAGGAGATGGACCTTCGAGTAAAATTGGAAAATGTCCAAGGCAACATAAAATCGAATGTTATTTTACATATTTGATCAACTTAACCTCATGACAATGTTGTAATTATACATTTTGTAAAAGCTACATGTCAGTTCAATAAAAACATGTAAAACTTTCTTTGAATTCACATGCTGAAATCTGTTCCACGAGTGCATCTTCAATTTGCCTGTTAAGATACTGGTTTTCGAAGGAACATTACAGCAATTAAAATTAATAAGGTTGATTACTCTTGTAAGCAGAAGCATATACATATAGTTGCACATGCCAATCTAACCAAGTCTCCTAATTTCCTGTTATCAACCCTTGGCAAAAATACTTATTGTGCCTGTTCACTATTACGCACCCAGTGATCAGACAGCATTACCAAGTACCATCTCCAAATCATAGTTCTGTGTCATAGAGCTGAGTGCATCGGAAACATTACAATATATCATACTGTTAAGTGTAATCTGGTGATATTCTTAGGCTTTTTCGGTAAAGTCACGTAGGTAAAAAATCAAAATTAATAAAAGTAAAATAAAAATAAAAAATAAAAAATCACGTTTCGGAGGCAACACAAGCTTCCGTCTTCAGGTGGAACCGTCACAACCCGACAGTTGTATCAAGTAAATGAGAGATTACAAGAGATACCACTCCGTATATATAATGGTTGAGGGGGGGGGGCAGGAACGGCTCACTTTTCATTATTATGGTAAGGTGCGGCTTGAGACTATGAATAGACTACATAACAAATGACTGAGCCTTTATTATGGAGAGGTGCGGTTTGTGACTACGCCTGGCCTACAAAACATGATTTTTAATTTTTATTTTTAACTTTTATTTTACTTTTATTAATTTTTTACCTACGTGACTTTGCCAAAAAAACCTAAGAATATGAATCCTTGTAGTCACGAAAGCTTCAAATCTAAAATTAATCTGGTGATGTTGCTATTATTTTGCGTCTAAGCTCACAGTTTGTTTTTGGTAGTCTACAGTAAAACATACAGGTGGAATCGTTGGTGTTTGTGTGACAAGGCCAGGTACCATCTCGTCAGCCAGGATGCCATTGATTCCATTCTCATAGAGAGAGATGAGCCAGTTGAGGCCCCGCACTTGGTAATCCCTCATGGTGCCACCCTTCACATCTGCAAACACGGATCGAGTCAGTCAACACTGAAAACATGCACGACCTTCACTCGACGGGTGGCTAAATAATAGTTTCCATAATGAGAACTGAATCAAATAGTGCCTATTAGGTAAACAAAATATATCACAAGAATGTTCAGGTATCAAAGATAACCAATAGCTCCTGTTATTGTTAACCAAACATTTTAAACCTTATTTATACAGCCACGCTTACCATCTACCACTTAGTGAGTGTTGTTCTTAGCGCTTAGCCAAAAAAGACAGGATCATCATGCATTGTTCAATGTTTTTTAATTATTTACATCATCGATGTATAAGCTCTCACATGTTTTTATCTTCGTGAATTGCCAAGCTCCCTGTTAATAATGTGCAAGGATGGAACATTTCTCTTACTTGCTCCATTTTCAAAAATGTGGTAAAATAGCAAGTAATATAACTAACGATTTGGTTAAAAACATTACCCACTAATACTTGAATACAAATTATGACAAATAAAATATCCGTATATTTGTTCAGCGAATTGACACTATATTCAGATCACATAGGCTCCCTTAAACTGAGGATTAAAAACAACCCTATTAACAAGTCATCTCCATTGAGTATAAAAATTAAACTTTTTATATTTTACGAGGTAAGGCCCACTGCGCTATATAGCTCTTTTTCAGAAGCGACCTTGTCACAAATAATAGCTCAACGAAGTGGCTTATCATGTGGAATATCATAGCAGCCAAATACTCTAAACGCATATTTCTAAATGTGGAGGGAAAAACCAAAGGACCCCGAGAAAACTCCACGCGACCACGGGTAGAACGTGCAAACTCAAAATATACGGGTGTCAGAGTCGAACCCACAGCCTTCTGTATACCAGGCGAGGTAGTTAACAACATCTCGCCACCGCGGCACGAATGTACCCATTATGAGTGGCACGTACAGGTGGGTGACTCTTCAAAGCGAGTGCAAATGTTGGTCGCCTTCTTGCTCTCTGACAAAAGCTCCTCATCCTCTTCCTGCTCTGTCCTCCGGTGGCGAAAGCTACAGTTGTGGGAACAGCAGCAGCAAAACACTTGTAATTGTTTTATTTATCATGCAACTGTCTCATCCAACACTAAATAATGGGATTACTGAGTCTTGGAACAAAGCAAAATCTGTCAACAGCACTGGGGAGCGACAATTGTGATTGAGTATGATTGTCGGGATTATTTGGCCATATTTCACTATGCTGGACATTGCAGGTTGGTGAAGATGAGCCTGCTTCGATTCTGAGATCTGATGGGATGCATCCTGGTTAGTTTTATCATAGGCACTGCAAATTAGAACCAACCTCATAGGTACTCTTTGGTTCTTTCGGGAAAGTCACGTCGGTAAAAAAATTAAATAATTAAATATTTTCTTTCATCTACGTGACTTTACCGAAAAAAACAAAGAGTATGGATCCGTGCAGTCACGAAAACTTCAAATCTAGAATGAACCTCATAGGTATTTACTTTTTTAACATTTTGGTAAAAATTATGACACAAACCAATTTACATAATTTCATGTAAAAGGGTATAATCCGCATCACTTAAGACGCACATCAGGCATTAAATGGTACCGCTTTTAGGTCAAGTACAATTCACTGTACATCTGTTTTATTGGTGTGAGTAAAACGCTGCATGAAGGGGCCGCTGTGCTGAATGTTGAGCCTCTGTGCAGGTTTAAGTGTGTCATTCCAGAGTCTAACCACTGTGCTGCTGCACAGGTGTAAATGTGCGCAATGTTTGTGCGAACGGCTCCACTGACTCTCCGACGGACAGCAGGTGCTGCTTCTCATCGATCTTCTGCCGCGGTCGTCCCGGCTTAATCTTGAGCGGCGACACGGGCGCCTTCTGCGCTGCCGGCTGGATGAAGTGAGCAAAGAGCTCCGTCTGCTTGAGCAGGTACTCGAAGCGGTTTGCTCGATCGGATTTCTAGAGACGCAGGAAGCAAATAGACCTCCCGTTACGATATACAAATAACACACATTGGAAATTTTAATACGACGTTAGATTATGATTAGGGAAACTGATTCAAAGGAATTTGTAAATTACATAAAATTTTCATGAAATTGGGCACCATGCAACCAAAACCGGCATATGTAGGAACACTGATTATGAGGAATGTAATGATTCACCACCTCTCAATTATTTTAATGAGCTACAAGTTGGGTCACAATTCAATGCCAGATATTTTTTTACATTGTGTTGAATACAGAATCTTTAGTGGCTATGGAGTTTACAAGGACCCATATCAAATACAACATATGCAGATCAAAATCGATACATTTTCAGATGCACAATTTTAAGCATTATAATTTAATAGCACTGATGCATTGTAGCATACCTAGCCATTGTATTTATCATTTTTTCAATATACTGCAGGATAAAGGCCTCCCCATGACATCGTGGTCACGGTGATTATTTGACTATATTTCACCACGATGGTCAGTGGACTGATTTAAGGGAAGATCAAACCAGTTATCACATGCCACTGACGTTAGCCACGGCCAGAAATTGAACTCACCGCATTCATAGCGTAGTGCACAAATCACTGGCACTACTCCACCCCCGCCTAGCTATGAATAGGAAAACCTCACCAATCACGGGGGTAACATTCCTGGCAAATTCCATTTTGGGCAAAACTGGGTTGGTCAAATAAAAGACCTCATGGGAAAAATAAGGTAGTGTTCCTAGGTCAAAAAATACCACCCATTCCCTCTTTGTTTAATAATTTGCGTCCACTTGGTATCACATAAAAACGGACAGAATATGTTAACAAAATTAAATACATTAACACATAGAATGAAATAAAAGTTAAACTGATTATTTTACTTACTATGAATGCTGAAGATGATGTTGGAGGGATTGTAGGGCCCTCTCCAGGCTAATCAGGGTCAGTTGGTGACCCCTGGGAGCATTCAGGAGAGGCTTGTACCACCCCTTCTCGATACATTTTTTCATCTTGTCCAGGAAGTTCTTTGTGATCTCGTGGTCAGCTGATGCCGATTCCCCCATCAATTTCATGTTATGGAGGCTGAATATTTTTCAAACATTCTCAGACCAGCCATTACTGGCCTTGAATGTAAATATATTGGTACTTATTTCGCTTTGTTTTAAGTGTCCGTAAAGGTGGTTAGCCTTCTCCCTTAAAACTACACCACTAAGAGGCACTTTTCTTTGTGTCGGGTCCTCAATCTACAAAGTGCCTTTCCCATTTTCTCTAGAAATGGATCACGTTGAGCAACATATGTTTAGTGCTGGCTGCGGCATTGGCAGAAACACTGGCCACTATCTTTTACTCTGATGACTTAATCGTTCTCAATCGATTCAATGACACCATCGTACCATCCAACGGATGCAGCACTCCCACCTCTCGCAAGCCTTTTTGCACTAAATTCACCAAATTTTCTCTGCTTCTTCTCACTGCAATTATTGCCGCCACTCACCTTACGCTTAGGCGCCGTGATTAAACAAGTGAGCCCGCATGCGCTGAATGTTGGGGAGAGAAGATGGTACCGAGATGTTTATCCACCGCCTCTACAGCAACTCTTAAATACTATCGGACAGATCACTACTTTTCGACGCGGAGATGCAAATTCGTAGCAGCGTCAACCCACGTATAGCCGAAACATCAAGCTCGTGTTCCGGAAAAACAGACCTCATTAAGTAAACCGTGTAGAGCAGTGTATCATTCGGTAAAAATGCGCTCGCCAAGGTTTTTCCTTAATTTATCAGTCAATTCTAGCCATGCTGTCAACTATTTCAAATATCACACCCAAGCCACTCCCAATGTCCTCACCTTGCCCCGTATCGCTATTGGCTAAAGGGGGGCTTAAGCCTGCCCTATTGAAGTCTCGTCACTCTTTTAAATTCTTATACGGAGTCACTAAATTCTTATACGTAGTCAAGTCAAACAATTTTGATACTATAGTTGAACACCAGTAGTCCTTTTCTCTTCGACGTTGAGGACAACATTTCGCTTGATCTGCTGTGGTTTCCTTTTAATTTGCAAACTTCGTTGGTTAATCAAACCGTGCAATGCCTGGACAATATGCTAATAATTGTCCAATTACGCCAATGGGCATCCTCTCCTCCTGCACAGGTGGTGTAAGAGCTATCGTCGACTGAATGCACAATAGACAAAATAAAATATTTTTCTTCTTCGTTTTTTCAGAACTAAAAAAAAACGTCACGCTATATTTGTTTTATACTCACCATCTTGTACTCGTAGTCCGAGTCTGGAGGCTTTGCCTCTGGGATTGAAGTGTTGGGTGAAGCGGTCGGCTCAGCGCTGGTCTCATTGCTCTGCGCGGACAGCACGGGTTAGGAAAGCAGACACGCAAACGCGGGGTGAGCACTTGGGCATAAACACGGAGCACAGCTTTTAAAAGTAGGATTAAGTCAAGTCACGTCTAAAGATAAAATAATAAATTAAAATAATAGCATATTACGACGTTTCGATTGCAACACAATCATCATCAGGCATAAAAGAAATAGCAACAAAAATCTAACTAGAAAACTATAGACAGACATACAAACAGACATACATCACAAGGACACACAGAGAGAGGACACATATCGGCACAAAGAGAGGGGTCGTTTCTGTGACGGTCCCTTAAATATAGAGACTTTACTGAAAAAACCTAAGAGTATGAATCCTTGCAGTCACGAAAGCTTCAAATCTAGAATTAGCGTTAAGTCACTTTATTGTAGTAATTGCCCAATACAAGAGGCTCTCCCTCGTGTTACGTTGTGTGTGTTGTACACGTTGAAAACAAGATAAAATAATCGCTGTTTCCGCCCGGTTTCGAACCGGGGACCTTTCGCGTGTCGGGCGAATGTGATAACCACTACACTACGGAAACCGGCACGTACGCATGCGACTGCGGTGCACCTTATATAGGATAGACAACCCCGTGTTATCAACTTTACACGGGCAATACATGACGCATGTTGTCGATACAAGCTGAGACGCTGTTCACGTTGTTGCCTTTGTACGTTTATCAACAAGTTTATGATTCTCAGGCTTCTGCAATGTAAGCGCAGCTGCGACTGACGCACTCTTGAACGCGACACGGGTGAGGTGGGTGCATTTGCATCAGTAATACACGGAGAGCGATAGAAAAGGAGTTTTGAAAGCAAGGCCGTGGGTTTTATTGCAGAATTGTGTTGTTTTTCCGTAAGCGACGCCGACGCACGCTTAACACTTTGCTGCCAACACGAATACACAAGAACGGTGCATTGTCAGCGTTGGGGAGTACAATTTAATGCATTAGCGCGTTAATTCGCGACATCTGCAAAGAGTTTTAACGTGGCGAATACGTTGAGTGAAAGTTGACGTAACATCGCATATTGCGATGTTTAGGCCGGCGGGAGAGGCGCTTCACATATTGTAGACCGCACGCGCGGCACTCGGAGAGAGGGCGCACGCGATTGGTCGAGACGCGCGATTGAAGGCGGAGCTACTGCATAAAAAACGCCCACAAACAAGCGCCGGCCAATCAGGGACGAGCAATGTAACGTTCGCTGCGCATCTCCTCTGGGAAATGTAAAGCGGGGCTAGGCGCGGGCCTAACGCTGCGAGCCCCGTTACCTCTTGCTTGGCAACGGGCGACACGGGCTCGCTTTCCTCGTCCGACATCGCCGCTCGGCTCGTTTAGTGACAAAGAGAATGATTATTTTAAAATAACAATCGTTAATAATCGATTAAAATAGCGCGAGGGCGCGTTAAAAATAGCGATAAAAAGCGCAATGCAGAAATTGCGCGAAAGTTGGCGCAGGGGCGCGTTTTGATTGGCTGAGACATCAGGACCCCCAATGGCTGTCTTTGGTTAAGTGCCGGTTAAAAAATGACAAAAATATATATTTTTATTATTTCCCTTCTACGTGGCTTTACCGAAAGAACCAAGAATATGAATCCCTGCAGTCACGAAAGCTCTAAATAAAAATTTTAATGTCGACATGTTACCCCCAAAAAATGAGTAATAATACATTTAAATAAACGACTGCAGGCACTGAGGCAGGGTTTGTGGACGGCTTCCCACCCCCACCCCCCGTAGCTGGGGTCCTTGCTCACCGGAGTCGCTGCTCAGCTGATCGCAGCCGGAATGAAATTGTTGCGCGGGCTTCGTCCCCCCGTCTCTCTCATCTCGTCGCTTCATTCCTCATCTTCATCACCTTCACCACCGCCGTGCTCCTTGGTCTTGCTACGTTTGCATTATTCGAGCCGTGATCCGCGACTTGGCCAGCGAATGCTGGCGAGAGCCGCCGTGTGAAGGAATCCGACACGAGGTAATGGTGGGCCCCCCATCCGCGTGTGTATGTATTGCTCCTATCCGGGGCTCCTGTTGAATCGTTCGCCAAAATGCCTCATCATTTATTAGTCATCATCGTTGCCGTCCGATTGTTATCGAGACAATTGTCGTCTTGAGTTCCTGTAATCGTTACAAGCGTGTAAGGCAGACGTTAACACCGTAACATTAATTAATCGTCATCAGGCCCATGTACTATCCAGCAACTGGATGAAGGCCTCTTTCTTCCGCCGCCAACTACCGCGGTCATCCGATGAGATAATTAATCTGGCACCTGCATTCATCTGGCACTTGCACACGAGCTTGATTTATTCGTTCGGTCCTCTTAACTGTCACTCTCTAGTCGTTCTCGTTTACCGGCCGGTCTTCCCTTATCGTTAGTAACGCATCGTGCCAACCCGGATTAGTTTGCTTAACTGGGAAAATGGTGCCTGGCTTGCATATGTTCTCGGATTCAAGTTTGAAAATTATGTATAATTACGAATGCAAACTTTATTAGTATGTTCGTCATCTACATCTTGATTATCAACATGATCGCTAGCAATATTAATTTAACCCGTATTGTCATTGTCACTGTCATTAATATCGTAATGTTTATGCTTGACGTCATAAAATTATCTGAGAGCGGTGTTCTGCTTTCTTTTTGGCCCAGAGCTATTTGGGAAAATGCCTCATTCCTGTGGCGGGGAATCAGTAGATCAATATAACAACCTCTTTCGATGTACCTAAAGATCGTTATAGTGTTCGTGAGCCTGCTAGAGCATCATCGGAAGACGTAAACAATAACGTGGTCATATAAATAGAGGTCTTTCAAGGAAATATCAGAAGGGGAATATCTAGAGACGGTGGTTGTGACAGCAAGAGATGTCTTTGAAAGACACTTAAACAAAAAGTTCTAAAGCGAGATTATGCATAGTCAACACCAGAGCGGACGGAATTAAACTATGACGAAGCTTCATGGCATCACCGGCATTGCCCGTGATGATGACCTATTGATTTTGTTAGCTTCCCACAAATTGTCTCCCTTAATCAATGAACTACTAAGTCATTACTAGCCTTGTTCTACCATTGTTAAATAAGAGTACGTATATCTATTTACATTTGAGTTGTAATCATAATACCTACTGTTTGCCTAGGGAAACGTCACCAAGTCGAATTCATATTGATGTGGGCCGTGATTTGTATGTTCGGCAATTTTTTGAGTGTTTTGGACAATATTCTTGTCGCCAGTTTTTCCTTAACAGCATAGCCATAAATTTAACACTGTCAAAAAACATCTTGAAGTGAGGCTATGTGCTGTGTAAGCACAGCACAATTTTGTAGAATATTGAGAAGCCAATTGGTGGATTGTACAAGGGTGGTTCAAATAATTCCTGGAATTTTGCTCACAGATAAGTATAACCCGTAAAAACAGTTTTTCACTATAAATCCTTTATATGCGTGGCGGCTAGAGTCCTCTCGTCCTCTGGCTTGAGATGGCTGCCACCTATGGGTCAGATGATTGTCTGCCAGTATTAACCAATTGGTAATTAAATATTTAATTTGTTTTCCCTAAACAGTGTAAAATTTTGGAGAAAAAAAAATTCACGAACATTAATTGTCTCGCACAACGAGTCTGTGTGCAAAATGTCAGCTCGATTGGATCACGGGAAGTGGGTTAAAAAACGACCGAAAGATTTGCACGGTCGTAAGCAAGCAAGCGAATTAATATAAAGGATTTAAAAATAGATTTTATCATGGCAGGTCATCAAATTGTCAACATGTAGGTTAAATCCACATCACAGCACTTCTCTCACCAAGTTCCTGAATGCCCTTAGCATAGTAGGTAGTGTCTCTGTTCGTTATCTAATAGAAAATGTTTCCCACCAAAGTGCAGATTCTTTCGAAAGGGGAAAACAGATGGAAATCTGGACTGTATATGGGGTGTAGGAGAGCATCTCCAGCTCTAAGTGTTTAATTTGGCTATGATAGCATTAGGCCTTTTGGGGTTAAGCATTGTGGTGCAGAAAAAAATACACTTCTTGACAGTATTCCTTTACGTTTCTTTCAATTGCTTTATGTACATCCTAGAGGATGGTGTTGATGATAGCAACCTTGGCCAAGAAATGTGCATTATTTGTGATCCCAGAACACTGATGCCATCACCTTGCCAGCAGAAGAAACCTTCCAACAATTCCTGGGTGGTGAAGAAACCTGGAGTGTTTCAATTCCATCCTAGAAAGTTTGATTCTGGAGTGTGTTATTGAATCCATATTACAATGTATTCCAAGAATATTTTGCTCCCAGCGATTTACACATTTGGCCCTTTGAAGGGCCAGATTCCATTAAGTGTAAGCAAATTTAAGACGTGCTGATATGGTTCAAATAGAGGGACACTTCCTTGAATGCTATGGGCATTCAGGACCATTCAGGCACTGGTGCATCATGAATACGAATTCTGATAACATAGGCAAGGCAAAGAACACACATTGATTATCTTAAATAGATACTTATTAGAATTTTAATAATTAATGTAGTGGTCCATTATCCAAAACATAACTTTGTTTTGTATTTTTCAGTTTATCAGTGTTAATGACAAAAGTGCTAATATTTCCAGTGTATGATTTTCTATATACATTATACACTGGAAGTAATATATTCTAGAAGAGCGAAGGTCTTGTAACATGCAGTAAAGTATAGATAGAATCAGAATGTTTATTTAGACTGGAGTAGTCCGATGAGCTCTGATGCTCTTTTTCAGAGATGTCCTGTTGGGGTGTGTCAGTAAGTTACAACAACAACAAAAAACTATACAAAGCTAAAACGATAGGAGTGCAAAATAGAGAAAAGGTAAGCAAGTCACGAAAAGTAACTAACGTTTCTAAGTTTAAATAATAGCCTGCCGATTTTTCAACACAATACATGCTTGGCCAAAGCAGCAAAACAACAAAAACAGTCCCAGATCACACCAAGACAAATCACAGTCCCTCAATAAAATTGCATGTAAAAATGTAACGCGATTCACGGGTAAGAATCACAGTTGTAAATCTTCTGCTTCAGGATAGTTTTTGAAAGAATATTTACGATGTTAAGGGAGAAAACAAGGTTGTTCCAAAATGTTGGTGCTGCAACGACAAAGGCTTTGTCACCTATTCCAATTCTTGTTCTAGGGATAATTAAAAGGCAATTAGATGGGCGTTTTAGGTTTCTTAGTTTTGACAATGGAGTTAATAGAGAAGGTATGTCACAAGTCTACATTTAGGCGAAAGTATTAACCTGCTAACATGAACAGTACGACTGGGATTCTCAAAGCAGATTTTCCTAAGATTAATTCATTAATTTCTTTGGTGCAGTAAAGCCGCGTACAATAGCATCAGCTTCTATTTCATTCGTATGTTTAGATTAAAAGTGTATTGGCATGTGTTCATTGTAATGGCATGTGATCCCATTCCATTGTCAAGAGTATGCTATCAACAATGGTGTACCATTGCTGTTATAATTCAGTAAAAATGGTTAAGTTAAACATAGCAACGGGTGCAACTTATTTTTACTCTGCACAAGAAGAGCCACATTGTACAGTTCATATCGTTATGGCTGCACCCGGGCTTGGCTGTGCTCATAAATGTATAATGTTTCTCTGAATATGCTAGCCTTGAGTTATGCACAATAAACGCTTTCACTTTGAGCACAAAGTACATTGATTAGCATGTGGGGGTTTGTTGCATGAGCATGAACTACACAGACATCCGACACCAATGTGCTCACAGTTGCATCTCCACGTCTGTCTTGTGCTTTAATGAACCACTCTTCCTCTCGACCATTTTGCCAGCAAATATTTTGGAAGCCTGCCACCAGTACACAGCTGTGCACGCTATATTAGAAAAGCAGCCACCCTATGGCCTCAAAACTTTACATCGATTACACACATGCAGGCATGGCTTTTAATAACGCTTCATTTTAAAGAAGTTTATCAAACCTTAGTTCTTGGTTTTGATAGATGCATTCTTTTGCTCCTAAAATTGTCGATCAATCGAAAGTGCAACATTGGCAGCAGTGTAAATTATTACATTATTTAATAATTTGGTGGGAGCCCGTTTAAATACTGAAACAGGTATGTATCAGATATATGCACAGGTTGGGTTGTATAGTTGTACTTGTAGTATAGCATTGTATAGTTTCCAAAATGCTGTTGTTATGGCAAATTTCCCTGCCTCTCCATTCTGGGTGCTCAGCCTTAAAAATGCATGCTTCCCCATCACTAATGAGCATTTTGAAAACCCTTGGCTTGAAGCCTCATGTGTGGAAGAATGATTGAGTTGATGCAAGCAATACTGTCATTCCGTATGAACAGGCAGCATACAGAATTGAAAGGTCTCGTTTTGTGCCAGCACTGCGTAATTCATCACCGTTCAGATTTTATAGACTTTTCGTTGTCAAATGCCAGTGCTTTGGTAACTAGCACAGAGCCACAGTTGTGCTGTATTGCTAACAAACATCAGTTTTTTTACAATATACTTTTTCTCCTCTTGCATTGTATGCTTTACTCTCAATAATGTGGGAATGCATGTACATTACTTATTTTTGGTCAACTTAATGCTAGACTAGGGGTCTGTAACCAAAATAACAATATTCGGTAAAAAAAAATATTTCAAGAGCTGCAATGCATGTGAATACGAGAGACTGTGGTCCTTAATAAATATCGTCACGAAGCAGTACTTAAAGAGCCGCAGGATGCCGACCCCTGTGCTAGACTGAGACCAAATCACCCATAATGCACGCACATTTCTTCAGGTCTTGGAAGCTAAACAGGGTTTGATCACCTTACATAACTGATGTTGTTGGCTGCAGGGCTAGGTTGTGGGCACCCGAGAGGGCTATGCAGCAACGTATGTTGTTGTTTCTGTACCATGCTCCCATGTCTGTACAATGCTGCCATCGTTGATATCGGTGGCAAGTGATATCTAAACCATCCATGGCTCCACGCCTTCAACCTGCACTGAGCATGTGGTGAAGCATAGTCAAATAATTCCCATGACGGGATTGGGTATGTCTTCATCCAGGAGCGGACTGACAAAGGACTTGTGCATTTTTTATTACATTTTACAGAAGCGGTCCGTGTACCACGCAGCGATGGACAAGATCCTGGAGGGCCTGCTTAGCTCATCGCACCCGCTGCCGGTGAAGCGCAGCGTGGTGAAGAAGGTCTTGAAGCGGCCGAGGGCAAACTGGATGGAGAGCAATGCCAGGCCATGTTCACGCTCGCCACACGCCTCACTCTGCTCAGTGAAGATACCTTCCAGAGACAGGTACAGATACACGCTTGACACAACAACAGGGCAGAACGTGGTTGGTACAGACAGCCTCTTTGGGAGGTTGCTTTTTCCCCTCTGTTGACCTCAGTTTGAAATGATATGCAATTTCCTCTATTCTGGCCAGCTATACTGCTTACCCAAGCTGAAGTTCTTTTCGTTTACGACCTGCTGTTGACTTTGCTTTATATACATAACCTAATCTTATTTAATTGTGTTATCGTTAATGCTGTATCTCACCATATAATTGTTACTATATATCTACGATATATAGTAAACTGAAGTTTAAAATGACACAAGTCCCTCTACTTTGTCAAGCCTTTACAACCAAATTGTTAGTGTCCACCTTATTGGTCTCGCCCTCCAACCGATGTCCTATCCGACTTGTAAAGGTCCTTTAGATAAAACTGCAACAATACTTATTATGAATATGTATCACTTTTATCATTGGTGATGATAATAATTTAATGATTATATTGAATGGCTATTTATGAGCAACTATTAGAAATTCAGTTAATCATTTGGTGATGAAAGGTTGCCACTATTTGAAGCACCAAACTGCACCATCAATACTCTTAGTTCTTTCGGTAAAGTCACGTCGGTAAAAAATGAAATTAAAATAAAACAATAAAAATCACGACGTTTCGGAGGCAACACAAGTCTCCGTCATCAGGTGGGACCGTCACAGCCAGATTAGCTGTGACGTTCCCACCTGATGACGGAGACTTGTGTTGCCTCCGAAACGTCGTGATTTTTATTGTTTTATTTTAATTTTAATTTCATTTTTTACCTACGTGACTTTACCGAAAGAACTAAGAGTATGAATCCTTGCAGTCACGAAAGCTTCAAATCTAGAATGCACCATCAATGACACGCAGTTATTTCACTGCAGTTACTTTAGACCAAGCTACTAGCATCTTGGACATCGCAGTCACCGTAACGTTGACCAACGAACGTCCACTTCGGATGCGCGACTGACGGCGTAGTTCATCTTTCCTCACGCAGGTCGGCCAGCAGGTGCTGGATGCTTACGCGCGCTGCCACCGCGCCCAGTTTGGCGACTTCTTCAACAGCGAGCTGGTGCTCGGGATGCTGCGCCAAGGCTACGGCTCACTGGGCCGGCGCGACGCGCGCCTCCTCGACTTTGTGCAGCACGGCCTACGCCTGAGCCTCAGCCTCCCGTCCGTGCTCACCGTGTACGCCTCGCTGCGCTCCGAGGCCCTGCGCATGGTGTGCGAGCGCCTCCGACCGTCCACGGCGTGCAGGTGAGGAGTTTCATCTCGACAAGACGCAGATAAAAAAAAAAAAAGTCCTCGTCCTCTACACACTTGCCAAGTAGGAATGCACCGTTGCATCGATTTGTCAGTGAAATATACATTTGTACGCTTACGAAAATGCATTGTGAGCTACTCTTGTAATATTTTATTGTAATGTGTATGTTGTGTGTAATTGGTTCATTTGACCCCTATGCAGCCATTGCATCACATAGGAAATTAAAGGATTTTTTCTAGGCTAGAAACATTACTCAAAATCGTGACAATTCATAGAAATCTGAGGGGTAATTTGGGGCGAGTTGTCATATACGTAGTTACCTGGGCTGTGTGTCCAAAGGATGTCCAAAACAGGTGGGAAGAATCTGTCTTTAGAAAATAGCCTTTAAAATAACACCCACCGCCATAATAACATGCTGCATTGATGTCACTGCATTGATGTTGCTTTTCACAGGATTAGTGATGTCACTTGACTGTAAATATCAGCTGATTTGTGAAGCTTCATCCTCGTGTCAAACACCTCGGGACATGTAGCCTAGCTGTATATACACCTTTAATATACAGTTTAATGAAATAATTCTTACATAAAAAATACAAATCCCCAATTTCTTTCTTGAGTGGGGTTTTTTTAAAGTTGCGGAGTATATATGTATGTTGAACTTATTTCGCGCGCCGTACATAGCCAACTCTGCTAATCGGAGCTGCGGGAGTGATTAACAAAGTTTTCACATGTCTATCCCTGACAGACTCGGTGAGCTACTCATCGAGTTCCCGCAGTGTCTGCCCAGAGAGGGGCAGCAGGCCATTGTCTTCTGCAAGCAGCTTGTGCGGACCATCGGTCACTTTGCCTGCCCGGCGGCGGCAGCAGAGGGGGACGGTGCCGACAGCGAGAAGGCCATTCGGGAATTCATTGGGCAGGTGAATCGCGTCAGCGGGCTGCTACCCAAGGTGTGGGTGTCAGAGCCGGCCGCCCTCCTCCCATCCCTGCAGGAGGTGTTTGCCATCATCTCCACTCCAGGTAACAAGCTACTAAGGAAAATGCTGTTAAATGATGAGCGCTTGTTGTTTCGAAGCCGCGTGCCTGTCGGCTCGTTGTTTCCCTTGTAAAAGAGAGATTGCATCGTTAGCTATTACAATAATAATAAAACATTGAATCTGATTGAGCTTTGACTTAAAGCTTTCGTGACTGCAGGAATTCATATTCTTTGGGTATTTCGGTAAAGTCACGTAGATAGGTTCAAAGAAAATAAAAACTACGACATTTCGATCGCAACACATGCAGTCGTCATAAGGTGATGACGACCGCTTGTGTTGCGATCTACGTGACTTTACCGAAAGACCCAAAGAATCTGATTGAGCTGTTTTAAATACTATTTTGAGATTAGAGAGTGGAATACTTGATTGTTATTATTTTTCATAAAGACAACCCCCTCTTAGTAAAGTTTGTTTTTGTCCAGAAGGAAAATTTTATTTTTATATGTGTTTGTTAAAATAATCTATATCAGACATTTCATATTTATACTGACTGTCCTCCAGTATGTTATTGTAATTGTAACCGATAATGGAATTTTAGGCTTTGGACATTTTCATAACCACAGAATTTAGTACAAATAGCAAGGTTTGAAATTATTGCAAACGTCTATGTTTAAACAAAGCAACTACTCTTGTTGCAATTGAGACCCATCAAATCAATATTGCTTGTTGAGAAAGATGGATAATTTAATCAGTGTTGGATTAATCTGCATATACATGCATAAACCACTCAAAAGTGCTTACACATTTTGTCTTTAATGGGAATTATTTTATTTTAAAATTATTCTTTGAAAAATAATGGCATGAACAAGTATGCATGCGAGTATCAACAAATGCATTTTGGCTCAGAGCTCAGCATTGAGCTGGTATCACTCAAACCCTGGGTTCGAATCCACCTGTGATTAGACTGAGTTTTCCAGTTTAGTGAGTTGATAGTTTCAGCCCAGTCACCGGTGACTGCACAAAAACCTCATTCCATAAACATTGTTTCTGCACTTTATTTTGCTAAATTCTGCTCTGATAATTAAAAATATTGGTTTAACTGTCATGCACAAACATTGCATTACTGTCAGTGGTAGAAGAGGCGCCCCCTACTTTGTGCAACAGCTTGCTTGAAGCAATCTCAGAAGTAGTTCTGTGATATCTATTTCAGTGAGCCATTTCCTAATTCAGTGATTCCGCTCTGCGAGAGATCAAAATGGAGGCTTTGTATCGTGACATGACGCCGGTAGCAGCATTTGGATAACATTGTCGGAATTTTATTTTGTTATTCATTTTGGATAATTGATTGGCAGTATGATCATCTTTTATATACAGCTCCCTAAGTGTCCGAAGCAAAAGAGATTGATTTTATGCACGTAGCTACATATGGGACAATGACATTTGTAAAATGCGAGTGAACTTATTGTCCACGCTCCAGACGTCCCTGCCGATCCATCAATCGCGCTTGCCAGCCTGGTGCAGTACATCCCCCTGCAGATGACGAACGTCATCATCCATAGCCTGACGACCGACGCCAATGTCCACGACGCCAACATGATGGTGGCCCTGTGCAGGTAAGTTACCGCGGCCTTGCCCATTAACGCACCACAGCTCTCCTGCAATTTGACCTTTCACTTTGTCTCCCAAATGATTCAACCTCTCTAAAGAATGGCATGAACCGAAAAAAGGAATGGCTGTCATCTTGTAGATAATCACTTAGACCGTGTCTTGGGTTGTCCAACACGAGCGTGATGGTTCATTAGTAAGAAGATGTATTGTAAAGTTAGCCAGTTGCATTTTACTGGTAGGAATCTCCTGGTTACACCAGCCACAGGGGATTATTGTGTCCGTCGTGCAGGGAGGGGCTGGGTGGGGAGGGGAGGGTGGGGAGGGTGGGATAGGGGAGGGGCTGGGTGGGGGGTGGGAGGGGTGGGACTGGGTGGGGAGGGGCTGGTCACCCCGTGGTGCCCTTATAAAACTCAACGTTTAACCTACTCACGCCGGCTTGTGCCCGCCCTCACAGTCGGCCATATTTGCGGAATACACCACGCCGCCGTTGACCCTGGCCATTGACCGAGCAACCCAACGTTCCTACCAGCTCCCTCCGCAGGAATGTGTTTTTATATTGTGATGTCATTTTGACGTGATGACATTTCAGTGTAGTCCAATGTCAGCAGTGCAGTGGTGTCATTAGAGAACTCTGATAGTGCACCTTGCTGAGATTTGAAAGTCTTTTATATTTTATAATGACGCTCCAAACTTGAGTTGGATAGCCCAGAACGCAGCCTTCGTACATATCGACACGATAAGGACTGCATGACTTGAGTTACATCATCCTTATTTGGTCTTAATTCTAAAATATTCAAGAGTTTGCCAAATCACGCATCTCATATCAATATTTATTTATTTGAAATGAGAGAAATGCATATGGAAAGAGTCAGATGGAAACATGTCTGCCATACTTTTAATCTAAGCTTAGCACCACACATGATAAAATCCTTACTGTGAAAATAATGTATTTGTACCCTGCCCGCAAAGATTCTGCCAGAGAGGAGATGCACCCGCGCCACCCATAGTTGGAGGACTCTACACTGTTTAACCCTTGTGCGGTATGCGTCCGTGCCAGGATGATTGACTGGCTGTCGTGGCCTTTGGCCCAGCGTGTGGACTGCTGGGTGACAGCTCTGCTCAAGGGTCTGGCTGCCGTGAATAAATTCACCATCCTCATCGATGTCACCGTCCTCAAAATCGAGCAGGTCGGCTATGGCTTTGGCGCTGACGTGGTATAATGCAAAATATGCGAGCTGAGTTTTCTGCCCATGGTGTGTGTTGGTGAACGGACGGTTGTGCGTGTGGGCGCGCGTGCTTTTCTGCTGCAGGTGCTGAGTCGGCTCTGGTTCCCGGTGGTGCGAGCTGGCGCGCTGTCCGTGCTCTCGCACATGCTGCTCAGCTTCCAGCACTCACCTGAGGCCTTCCACCTGGCAAGTCATGTCAAAGGCTCGAATCGCCCCAGATTCAATGCAGGCACCATTCATTTTTTTTTTTCGCCAATGCTGATTTCAATTACGAGATGACCTTCCAAGAGCTCGATCAACTATCTTGCCAGTGAGAGACTGGTTTGTATGTGGCATAGTTTCAATTCCCCGTTCTGTCAACCATTACACTCCACTCCTCGTGTGTGTGCGACGATACGTAGCTGCTGCCACACATGCCGGGGCTGGTTACGGATTTGCGCAAAGAGGCGTCTCCCACCAGCATGGCGTGCCTTCGGCAGCTGTCCCGCCTCATGCAGTGCATGATGTATCAGTACTCCGGCTTCCCTGACCTCTACGAGCCAATCCTCGAGCTCTTCAAGGTGAGGGCGGTCACACTTGTCTCGCGCGCAGGTTATCGCGTCGTCATCGGGTGAACGTGTCGAACACGCGAGTCGCATCGTTTTTGCCCGGGCTCGCGTGGTGCACAGGACTTCCCCTTGCTGCACGAGGACGACATCAAGCGCACGCTCACTCGCAGCGCGTGGACGTCGCAACGCTCGGCATCCCCCACGGGGCCTCTGCGGCGGGCGGCAGACAGGTCGGAAACCGGGAGGACCGGCCTCGTCAACCTGGGCAACACCTGCTACATGAACAGCATCATCCAGGCGCTCTTCATGACCACACAGTGAGCGTGCGCACCTCGGCATTGGGAGAGGAGCTTGAATGTGCTTCGTTCGTTGTGTTCAATTCAACTTGTGCAGTGATTGCTGATTTAGAACAGATGGTGGCGTTGTGAGCACGTGTGCACACACACCAGTTACAATTCCTTAGGTTACCCAGATATTGGGAGTACCTTTAGATTTGAAGCTTTCGTGACTGCAAGGATTCTTACTCTTAGTTTTTTCGGTGAAGTCACAAAGGTAAAAAATGAAATTAAAATTAATGAAATTTTTTTTTTTTAAATCACGACGTTTCGGAGGCAACACAAGTCTCCGTCATCAGGTGGGACCGTCACAGCCAGATTTGCTGTATCAAGTGAGGCAGGCTGCCTTGTGTTGCCTCCGAAACGTCGTGATTCTTTATTATTTTATTTTTATTAATTTTAATTTCATTTTTTACCTACGTGACTTTACAGAAAAAAACTAAGAGTATTGGGAGTACCATTGATGAGGGTTATGCTATTTTTGTCTGTTTTACGTGTTTTTTATTCAAAGTTTACTTATTTTGTAAACCAATTGGGAATATTATGTACAATCAGTTTTCACGTATATATGAACGGGTGAAGGAGAAGCGTGTCGCCTGTACCTGACGCAGCCGCTTTGCCTTTTTGTATTCCCAGTTTCCGCCGAGCGGTTCTGTCTCTGAGCCTCAACGGCTCACGTCCTCTCATGGGAAAACTGCAGCTTCTCTTCGCCTTTTTGGCTCATACACAGGTACGAGCAGCTTGACGTCTCCGCATGAGGTGCCCCTCTGTGTCTGGTCCCTACTGTTTTGCTTGTTCAGTTGTTGCATTATTATCATTAGGTAGGTTCTGTCCACACCAAACTGTAATTTGTCATAGAATATATAATTATTTAATTTTTGTATGTATATATTTATGTTAAACTTTTTTCATACCGTACGTAGCCAACTGCGCTAATCGGAGGCGCGGGGAGTTGACCAGTGGCACAGTTGTTAGCGCGGTGCACTTTGAGCCCGGCGACCTGAGTTCAATTCCTGCCCACGGCTAACGTCCGTAGGAAGCGATATCTGAACCGAGCCTGTCCCAGGCACACTCTCAAAGTCACTGGTCAAACGTCCCGCAGTGGAAAAATGAAGACTGAGGCTTTCCTAGATAAATAAACTCCCGATGTAAACAATACCAAATCCTTGCCATATTAAACCGAGATGTAAAATAAGTATAACCCGTAAAAACAAAGTTTTTCACTCTAAATCCTTTATATGCGTGGCGGCTAGAGTCCTCTCGTCCTCTGGCTTGAGATGGCTGCCACCTATGGGTCAGATGATTGCATGGCACCATTAAGCAATTGGTAATTAAATATAATATTTTTGTCCTAAAAAGTGTAAAATTTTGGGAAAAAAATTTCACGAACATTAATTGTCACGCACAACAAGCCGGTGTGGAAAATGTCAGCTCGATTGGATCACGGGAAAGTGGGTTAAAAAACGACCGAAAGATTTGCACGGTCCTAAGCAAGCAGGCAAGCGAACTTAATATAAAGGATGTAATAAAGTGCCTGCCTTGACCCTCCCCACACACCCCCAGCGCTCTGCGTTTGAGCCGAGGAATTTCCTGGAGGTGTCGCGCCCCCCTTGGTTCACGCCGGGTTCCCAGCAGGACTGCTCCGAGTACCTCAAGTACCTCCTCACCAGGTGGCGTGCGTCTTTATTTCGAGAAGAGAATTTAAACAACGCGTCGTTTGGCGTGGGAATGTGAAGCCGCATTAATATTCACTCGCGGAGGTTTTTATTTCTAGCAAGGGAGCATGATTTACTTCACCACCACAACCCCCCCCCCCCCCCCCAGGCTCACCAGCAATGAATTGTCATGGGGTCACGATTTTAACTTTTTTTTTTTGCCTCATTTGTATTGTTATGTTTTCTGTCTCACTTGCACAGTTTCGTTTCCACCATTAGCCTGTATGTAACATTAGCTTGTTATTGCATCATAATTATCATAATCCATAAATAGTGTTAAAAAGTTACAGAAAAGCTGCATTTGGACTCGGAATTATGTTTGTTAATTTAAATTTTGAATTGTCTACTTGTACATATAAATAGGAGGGAAGCAGTGGTACAGTGGTTAGCGGTACTGTAATATGAAGCCAGTGATCTCAATTTGATTCCCAGCAACAGCTAATATCAGTCGAGAGAACAATAACTGAGCTACTGGTCCTGGGCAACTCCTCACTGCCTCTTGTGCTGACCAGCATGGTACAGTTGTATCAAGAAAGCCACATGATTAAAAATGATATTGGGATTCCTTCACCTAGCAATTACTTAACACAGGGCTATAAATAATTACGTTTCGATTCTTATGAGAAATGTCACGAGATTAAGTTGAACTTTGGCTGTGTGCGGTGTTTGATTTTATCCATCAGGATACACGAAGAAGAAAAAACTCTAATTCAGCTCCATAGGAATGCAAAAGCAGCAAAGCAAGGTGCAGAGTCTAGCGGGATCTTGCTGACGGAAACACAATCCGCCAGTGGGAATCCACAAGACTGCAAAAGAACAGGTGCTGAAGCTCTAGAATCACCTAAGGAGGTTTCTGAGAAAGACGAGGAGAGGACGCTGGTGGAAAAAATGTTCGGCGGGAAGTTATTGACAAGGATCTCCTGCAAGAATTGCCGAGGCGTGTCGGAGAGGTTCGAGGCGTTCACCGACCTCTCCTTGGCTTTCCCGACGCAGGGTGTCGAGTCCACTGCACAGCTTGATTCGGCCGCCGCGACGGTGCAGCCGGTCACGAGTTCGCACTTGGCCAACGAAATAAGCAGTGTGCCAAATGTGACACAACAATCGGCACTGTCTTCGGGCTGCGCGCAGGTGCCCGAGTGTCAAGACGTGAACGTAAAGGATCCCACGCAGCTTGGCATCAGTGATGAAGTGAGCGAATCAGCGTGCACCTTCCGCAGCGAGAGCCCCACAGGCTCAACGCAAGCCAGCGCCTCTACTCCGGCCACAAGCGTAAGCGATGACAGTCGCTGTTCCCAAGAAGCGGAAACGGCAGAAACATCTAACACCAAAGTAGACGCCGCCACGATGACTATGCCGAGCGACGGAATAGAACATTTCACCGACGTTGCGGTAGAAGTGCGGCCGGGACCCCACGTTCTAGTCGGCGGCGACGGTGTCTCCGTCTCGAGTAACGAACGGCCGCCATCAAAGCCGGAGGTCGTCGTTTGTTCACCGGACTCTGACACAGACAGGGAGTCGGAAAGCGTGCCCGGTCTGATCAATTATTTCCTAACACCAGAGACACTGAGCGGGGAGAACCGGTATTACTGCGAGGCGTGCAATTCCCTGCAGGACGCGGAGCGTGCCACGTTGGTGGCCGAGAGCCCCGAGTACCTGGTCCTGACGCTGCTGCGGTTCTCCTACGACATGCGGACTCACTCCCGCCGCAAGATCCTGCGCAATGTGCACATCCCTCCCAGCCTCGTCCTCCCAGCACGAGCCAAGATGAAATGTGTTCCTGCCACCGCCGAAGAACCACTGCTCGCAGGACTGCAGCTGCCACCTAAAGGTCAACTCGGGGGTAGACACCGATGACTCCTGCAATGCTAAGTCTCCGCTCTGCAAAAAAATGAAACATTCTGAAGCGGAGCTCGAATCGGACGGGTTTTGTGACTCGACTGTGCCGTACGTGCTTACGTCCGTGGTGGTGCATTCGGGGATGTCTTCGGAGAGCGGCCACTATTACAGCTATGCACGGGACTGTGGGAAGCAGCGCGGGGGCACGAGACGCTGCCACAGATTCAGCAGCAACAACAACAACCTAATGCCAGAGGGCACGGCTGCATCTCCCACCGGCACGACCAGCGACCTCGCCGATTCTTCAGCTCCTCCGCCTGATAAAGACGTTGACGATAGAGGCCCGCCGAGCTGTCACCTCCCTTGTGCCACCGCCTCAAAGGTTGACCAGGAGGAAGAGAAGACTGAAGATGAGTCAGAGGAGGAGGAGCAGGGGGAGGAATGGCTTTTGTTCAACGACAGCCGCGTGTCTTTCTCGTCATTTGGCTCTGTGAGCGGCGTTACGAGCCGCTTCCCCAAGGACACGGCGTACGTGCTGATCTACCGGCGAAGGGACCGCCGGCCGGAGGGAGAAGGCGCTGCCTGCGAGCGACTCTGCTTCGAGCCGCCCCTCCGCAAGGAGCTCATGGAGGCTGTGAGCCGCGACAACAAGCTCTACCTCCAGGTCAGGACTCGGCATTGGCTCCTTTTTTTATTGGAATGTTAACTACCTCGCCTGGTATACAGGAGGAGATGGGTTCGATCCCAACCCTGACGCCTGTATATTTGGAGTTTGCATGTTTTCCCCGTGGTCGTGTGGATTTTCCTCCGGGTCCTCTGATTTTTCCTGCCACATTTAGACACCTACGTTTAGAGTATTTCGTTAGCAAAAAATGTCTTCACGATAAGGCACTTCGTTAAGCTATCATTTGTGGCCAGGTCACTTCTGAAAAAGAGCCATATAGCTCAGTGATTCATACCTGGTAAAATAAAAATAGTTTAGTTTAGTACCAGTGCAGAACCATCCTATAAAAGTGAATTGAGATGAAGGCTTTTTGTAATAAAGGATGTTATTGTTTTTGTAAACAAAAAAGACGAGTATTTTTAGTAGATTTTGAACAATGTGCTTGGCCATGATGTGAACAATTGCGGTTTTTTCTACATGTTTTACTCTGTACAGTGCCCTAGGTAGATTTTTTGTCAAGGGCTCTTGCAGATTAATCATGGAATATAATTCTATGTTTATACCAAAGTGACAAACCCATTTCGACTTAGTATTTTTCAGCCAGGGGCATGAACAAAATTTATTATAATGATTGTTTTAGCTTTGCTGTGTATGTGCTTTGATGTGTGTGTATCTGTGTTTCTGTGTTGTTTGTGTGTTTTGACGTCCCTGCGTGTGTTTTGGTTTTTTTTGTGCGTGTGTGAATTTTTACATTTCTGTATCTGCTGTGTGTGTTGTGCGTGCGTGTTATGTTCATGCGCTGGTGCCGTGTGCAATGCAGGAGCAAGAGCTGGAGGCACGGACCCGTGCTCTCCGTACCTCCTCCTCATCCTCGTCATATCACCGCCGCGACGACGATGACAGCCACTCGCCTGGGAGCTGCGGCCCTGGGGGTGGAGGCAGTGGATTCAGCTCCATCAGCCGCCTAGTCTTTTGACCCGAACTTCATTTGCACGTCTGAGCCCAGTGTAACATCCACCTCACTCCCCAAGCCTCCCCTCCGTGACCATCCCCTTTAATCCAATCACCCAAGAACTCAGGCTGCATGAATAACTTTTTGGCCAAAGTGGTTAATGTTTGTGTGTTTTTTCATGTGCGCTTTTTTCTTAACTCAGTAGCTTGAAAGGCATAACCGCTTGCAGGCTGCAATATAAATTTCCCAACTCCGATATTAGGCAGTTGGGTGGATCAGTAGAGATCGCACTGGCTATCGGGTCAGTTAGCAACGAGTCCATAGCTTCATTCCCACCACTTGGCAGTAATTTCCTTGTAACGTTAGCATAGCATCTTGTGTGCTGGAAGTGGACGTTACAGATCTGTGACACCATTCTCTACAGAAGACTATATTGTGTGCCATAGGTGAAATATATTTTTTTTATTACCCTAAACTAAGTTATAAAATATTTGCACTTTGCAAAGACATATATTCACATCTTTCTTACAATTCGATACTTTAATTTGGGCTTTTGTCTATGGGGAAAAGGTTTGTGAATTAATTTTGATGCACATTAATTGAAAATCACATGGCGTACTCTATATATTCACCACTCCAGTTAGTAAATTCCCAAATTTATTACCAGTTGTGTTTAGAGAAACTTGATAATAAAATCTTCACTTAAAGCTTTCGTGACTGCAGGAATTCATATTATTTGGGCCTTTAAGTAAAGTCACGTAGATAGAAAAAATTATAAAATAATAAAAAATATCACGACGTTTCGATCGCAACACAAGCGGTCGTCATCAGGAAAAGTGGGGTTCGCTTCTAAAGACAAACTTTATAAAGGTTTTAATTAACTGGTTAATGACCAACCACCTTCCGATGTTCTGATTTTTTACAAACTGACCAATCATTGGAAGGACGTTATTAACCAGTTTAAGTCATAACGGGCTGTGATGTTCCCAGCCTTACCACCTTCCAATGTTAGTTATTTTCGGTTCTATAATTTTTTTACATTAACAGAATAAATGTCTCACTAACACAGCTACCTCGTGCGCCATCCTCAAGGCTGCTGCTTCACGATCTCCTATTAACATGCTAATCTCTCACATTAACATCGCCACCTTGGCACACTCGCTGTATAGGAGTCTTGATGATCTTCCATTAACATGCTAATCTCTCACATTAACATAGCCACCTTGGCACACTCGATGCTCGGCGATCTTGCATTGACATGCTAATATTTGCCTGGCAGCCCTGTGATTGGTGGAAAGGCCACCACCGCCGCGGCCGCTGCCCACCACTTGCATTGGCATTGGCTGCTGACATTTGGGCTACGCCCATTTGAAACCTTTATAAGCAGTTGTCTTTAGAAACGAAGCCTACTTTTCCTGATGACCACCGCTTGTGTTGCGATCGAAACGTCGTAATATTTTTATTATTTTTGCTATCTACGTGACTTGACCGAAAGGCCCAAATAATTTATAATAAAAGCAGGGACCCCGATTTAAAGATTCTAGATTTTCAATATTCCAAACGCTTTTTTTTTTTCAAGCTGAGAAAACCAGACTTGCATTAGTGTCCGTTTGTGTTGAGTTTAGCTCCACAGTATTTCCTTTACTCTTGCATACTGGGTGGATATTGTGATTTTGAGCAGCTAATGGCATCAAATATGCAGGGGGGGGGCATCTTTTTTCAGGTATGTGTAAAACACTACTGTGTGTACCATATCAGGGAATGGATGTGAAGCCATAATGCTTTGTTATATACCGATAGAATGTCTAAATTAGTTTTAAAAATGGCGTACATGCTATGTTAATAATGCCGAAATAAAAATGTATGGAGCATCTGCATTTAGTTTTCTAACGCAGCCCTTGTCATTTTGTTTGGTGCATGATACGAGATCATTGATAAGATTGAAATGTTCAGGATTGCGAGAGATGGCGACCGCTTGGGGGGGATGCTTTATAATGCAGGGGTGGATTGTTCATGGTTGATGACGAAGCGCCAAATGTTAACCATATTTACATCGCACATTTCTTTACCATAGTAACGCAGGTTGTGACTCGACTCAAGAGGATGCCTTACCAATGGTATGCAGTTCATAAAGGGTGTGCCCCTTGCGAGTACCAAGTTTACCCTAATACAATTACTTCTGATTGGAACAATCAAACATTTGACAAACTGTGGCATGCTGCCCAGGAGATGTGAATGGGTAAAACTGCTGTCAAGAGCACTTTTGGGCAAGTGCTCCGTTGACTACGAATGCTTTTCATCGGGTTACATTTAAGTGGAGTGGTGGGATCTTCAAAGAGCTGGTGGTGGTACAGGCAGCTGATACACCCTTGCGTTTTAACCGCAGACCGTAGACCTCACCAGTGATAATAATTTTGATGGAATTTGTAGAGGGAATGCATTTTTTTCACGATTGTAGGAACTGATTGGAGTGAAGGAGACGGCTCTTGCATACATTGCTGTGCAACAGTGTCTTCACTCGTGTGTGTAACCAAGAACACGTGTATTTTTGGGAATAAATACTATTCATGGTGCAAAATATTTTGGGCAACTTTCTTTTGACTGGAAGATTTGCGATAACAATATTGCTGTTGAACAATATTGTATGCTGGGTCTCCAAATGCATGCTTCGAAAAGCCTGCAGTTGACCTCAAATTATCAACCAGAGGATTAAAAGCAACTTGCTTAAATCCCAGGTAATGTGCACAGTCAGGATAATGACAGCAACCTTGCTCGTGCAATATTAATTTTGGGAGACCGATATTGAAGAGGAGCTTTGGGGGAAGACTGATGTGAGTGGTGAGAGCTTCGTGTTGGGTGCTGTGAGCATGAAGTATTCAATCGTGAATTTATCCCACTGACTGCACTGCGATCATGCTTTAATGTTGCATGGGCAGTGTGTAGTTAGGGAATGTTTGCACAATCGGTCGACTATCATTAATTAGCTTTTTATGATTGCAGTGCCATGTCTCTTACTGTTAAAGCTTGAATTTTATTATATTAATTTAACACATTTCATCGCTTTAATTCAAGTATATTCTTAATGTATTTTTTAATAATTAATTTCAAGTACAAATTTAGATGTGAAAACAGAACATACGAAGGTGACAGCTAAGAGGGTGTGGTTTCTGAAGTCATTCACTTACACCTGCATTATATGCAAATGCATTTGCTTGAAACTAAATCTTCAAAGATAGATTATAATTTTAAAATGACGAAAGTGACAGACATTAGGCTGTCGGTTGGGGCTTTAGCCCCATTTTTTCGGGGCAAAACTCTCAAACTGTTTAAAACCATAGTTTCAAAATATTTGTTTCTGGAGGTTTTGAAAGGTGCTGATTCCCAAGATAAAATCAGACTTTATTGATGCCATTTTAAATGACCAGACACTTTAAAGCATGCATCCAAAACAATGAGATTGTTCTTTAAAAAAAAGCAAACATTGCATTTTATTGATGGCATTATTTCAGCTTAATGGCAACACATCAAAGTGGACAATAAATATGTAACTGCATACATGTGCTCAAAGTATCTTAAAAAGAAGGCAACTCGTACATAAACAACTCAATTACCATCAACAATATCAAACTCTGCACCTATACCATAATACTGCTCACCCATATCCAGACAAGCTTTTCCAAGCTCAGCGCTAATAAATTCATTGCTGTTCGTGTCTCTGTGGCAATCCCTTGGGAAGCTTATCTTGATTGCTGGGCAAGGCTGGACTCATTTTGACAAGTTGTGCTATCAGCAGCAGGCATCTCAGCACATGTGCAAGAGTCTGAAAGCAGCTTGGGAAAGCTGCTGTTTTGTCCACTGCTGACCATAAAATGTTGAGTGTCACCGGCGAAGGCTTGCGAGAGTTAACATTTAAACTTCGTTTAAAGAGTGGTCACTCCATCTCTGCTGCTGCCCCCACTGTCAAACGCATCTCTCTGCACTGCTCACTCCATCTTTTCAAGTCGAGGCTGAAGACCTCTGATGATTCATCATTGATCAGTCCCACTTGGATGAATGCCTCCTCAAGCTACACCCATCTTTCACGGTCTTGCGATGCAGCGATCCATCTAGCACCTGTACAAGAGCTGATTTCGTATCTCCTTCATGGAAACCCTCTGGAAGTTCCATCCCTTTATACTTGTCCAAATGTTTTGATCAGCACTGAAATCACTTTCCACAGCTTGGCTTTCTCCATAACTCTACATCACTTTTTATGGAACGAAAATTCATCATCCCTTTCCCCACAATATACTAACATGCACGTGTCGGCATTTTGTACGTCGTCTTGAGGTGTGGTCACATTTAGACACTCGTGTTTGTTGCCCAATGTTTGCTTTTAATAATAAAGTGTTCGTCCCCACAAGCCAGCCTTTACAGAAACCTATCGGGATCATTCATGTCAAGGCTGTTGCACTATTTTTCTGGACAGAAAAGTAAGTTCCCTAAACAACAAAACATTTTCAAACTGCACCAAAAGCAGACTTCATACACCGGCAGCTCAAACCGCTGGTTAACTACCGTACACCTGCACATCTGCAGAGTCATGCTGTAGTAGATTTGGAGAGAGCGTTGTCTTGGTAAGGTCACGTGTGTGCCTTGTGTGGCTTATAAACGTTAGCACCCTGCCCGGACGAAGAATAAGAAATCGTGATTCCAGTTTTATGTTGCAGAGAAAACACTTAAAAACTCGTTTCGTGCATTCTGTTGTGGATATGGATGCAGAGAGTGACCTGGACAGAGAAGATGATCAATTAAGAGATCTTGAATGACATCAACAAAAAGAACAATGGAAGTTCCTCGGAAGGAGAAAGAAGACACCATTCGACGTATTTATGTACTATGTTGAACTTCTTTCGCACCGTACGTGTCCAACCGTACCAATCTGAGGTGCCCTTGCATTCAACCCGTGCCCTCGCAATCTCCGAGGGCACGGGGGTTGATGAAGACGTCGTCGAATGAAGAATGGAGGGGAACACGAACAAAGAAGATTGCCGAGGACTGGGATGTGGGGAGGAACTAAAGGAGGGATTTGTGGGCATGGGGCCAGATAAGTGCGGAGAAGCCAAAGGTTAAGGCAGAGCACCAAATAATAAACTTAGTTAAAGCATCGAGTGACTCCTACCAGAATTCAGATTAGTCTGTCCATCATGAAAGAATTAAATTTCGACTTTACCTGTAATGCTCTACAAGCCACCATTATCAGTCCTGCGCTATCGTCACGAACGTTTAGTATTTAAGTTGCAGCCCTCTATGCCACTGGCACTGCAGGCCGCTTGTACACAGTTATGAACACAGGAGTGAGAGGAAACACGTGTATAATTCATACGACACCCAGGACTCACACGACCACTAATCTTGTATCACAAGTAGCATGATCTAAAAACTGTAAACCTTCAACGTTGTAACATGCGTGAATCGTGACATTTCCCACAAAAGTGTAAGTGTAAAAAGACATGTTTAGTGCTTAAGAGGCTGTGCTTTCACTTTTACTTTTTTATCTTTTCCTTTTAATATGAAATATTTGAATGTGGTTAAATATCAACAATCAATGTCAAGCTGATATTCACCACATTCATAATTTCGAGTTATTACGCGCTGCACAGTGTTTGCTTACTCGCGACGGAAGATAACGACTCCCAAGGCGCGATGAACCCCAGGACAAGCGGGGAAGGCAACAGCCATGTGGGTGAGCTGCTGCCAAATTCCCTCCACCCCAAGCTCTGCGGTCCTTTATATATGAAGGTGTTCTCAGCCAATTCATGAGGTTTTTTTTTATGTGGGAGGAAACCGGAGCACCCAAAGCCCACGAATGCGAGGGGGCAACGCTGTATACCACACATAGGGAACAGGTGGGGTCCTCTACTTATGAATATTGGACTTACGAACTTTCAGAGATACAAACAAACCTGTCCCGTATGTCATGTAGATGCCACATGAACAACCAGTGGCGTCTACATCTGCAGAACATGAAGAACCGGTGGCATCTACAAGAGATTATACAACTTTTAAAGCCATTCCCCGTGTTTAGCGTACATGCTGTTCAACATGTTTGGAATCGACAGAAGTAAAGTTGGACTTACGAACAAATCGACATACGAACAGACCTCTGGAACCGAACTCGTTCCTAAGTCTGTGATAAATCAATCTATACCTCATCATGAACCTGTTTGAAATGATGCATCACATATCCCTTTAGATGTACCTGTGTCTCTATTTAAATAGTGACTGGGTATGTAGTTACACAAAATAGCTTTTTGGAGTTGTCCACTTTGAAACAAACAAAACGCACAGAAACACTTTAATTAGCAATCAGCAAAAAAAAAAACATCGTTAGCAAATGTATAGCCAACACGTGACTGGCATTGACTTATGATAGTTGCCTCAACACAAAGACAATTCGACAAATAATTAATCTCCACTCCAATACTTCGCGTTTGCTACGACGGCACGGTTATGTCTCACCTCGGGGGATAACAAACCGCATGGAGGTTACAACAACAAAAATCCACAATCTTCAAACTTTTCTCATAGAAAACAGGGGGGGGGGGGGGCAGATTCATAGAAAATGAAAAATATTCCCCTAAACGTCTCCGCAATGCACACACGTTTACCATGCCATAATGGAAGAGTGATAGTTACATAAAGGGCATTTGAACCTTCATTGTTACACACACACACGCAGACTTTTTTACGCTTGAGTAGCAAAAACTATAACTGTCCTGTGTTGTCGGGCACTGCTAAAGTCTGTAAAATTGAGGCACCCTTAAGTAAATGCATTGTTATTATTTAATAATTGCTAACACGTCACAACGACCAAAGATATTCAACCATCAATTCAAAAACATTTATTTTTCCCCCCTCTTTACTTTTATTCCACAATCTGTTCCCGATGCGCGATAAAAATGAGTTCCAAAATAAAAGTTGCAAAAAGAATATGACAATGCCTTTTGCATATGTCGCCGGTGTAGGCTTACCTGTAATGAATCGCACGTATAATTGTGCACTCTACACCATATGGGAACCTATTTTGTATTATATTTCACAGCTGTCATAGCTAGGGGTAAGCCAGGTGCGTTCTTTTATTTTAAGGAAAGTCAATGGTGTTCAGGGGGTTAGGACCAGAGGTCGCAACCGGGTACCCGATACCCGTACCCTACCCGATACCCGGCTACCCGTACCCGGCCGGGTACGGGTACGGGTAGGCCGTGAGTCACTGGTGAGTAACCGTTTGTCACTCATTTCGGGTAGGGTACTGGTACGGGTAGGGAACGGGTACCCGGCACGGGTACGGGTACCCATTTGCGACCCTGGTGCGGCCGGGTACGGGTACGGGTAAGGAATCAAAACCCGTTTGCGACCTCTGGTTAGGACCCAGAGCCCCACGTGCGCTGCAGAGTACAGGGCACACCCCCAATAAAAATGTTGGCGAATTCCGTTCTGAGAGATTGAGCTGCGGCGTTGTGACGTGGAGGGCATGTTTGGTCATTATTGCGGATACGCAATTTTAATGCCCTTCGGAAGAACACTTTGAAATAAAGTTTTTCCAATTCACGAACCTCTTGGGTGCTCGGCTGTTGTGGAGTTGCCAACGCCTCAGGAGGACGGAACAACAACGCGGAGCATCTACTCATCGTCTTCGAATTGTATTATTTTTATTGTCTATTTAGCTGACTTCGTTAGGATTCGCGAGAGGAGAGGGGCAGGGTGGACCAGGCTACACATATCTGGTTGGAAAATACTTGGCAGTGGTTATTTTAAAACCAGGACTCAGCGTGCAGGTTTAATTGTTTAGTTCAAGTGCAGAATAAAACCTATCAATCTAAAGTATGAGTAAAGAAAAAAAAAATACTCACGGTACCAGTTATATCTCCGATGGTCAACACGAGGTCGATTCTTTCCATTGGGAGAGTACATTTTCACACTTTAAAACCGTAAATAACTAAATTATATAACCACGAGTAGAATTTTTTTTAAACAGCATGTCTGCGTGAGAAAGTTACCTCTTGGGCATTGATTTGTTGTCTTTGCCTCTGTAGACCAAGGCTTGTGTGCGATGTCAGGCCAGTTGACTTACTGTAAAAGTCCTTCGAAGGAAAAACGACCTCCGTATTAAAGTTCAAGTCCAAGGACTCTTGTCCTCAGCCTCCCAAACACCAGGACAACAAATCTGAGCAACGCAGAGCAAGTGGTTCTAAACTCAGGTCAGACACCACCATTCATATCCTCATGGACAACGCGTAGTCTTTAAGGCAAGGCCACAACTTTCAGCTCTGATCGGCCTTCTCTCTCGCTCGCTCAGCTGCACGTCCTGCCACCGCCGCCCTCTTCCCAAGCTTCCTCGCTCTCTTCTACAAACGGCAGTGCTGTTAGTTTCCAAGTTCAAGTAGGAGAAGACAAGAAACCAGACGGCTGCGGGCTGGCCTTCACCGGCGGCGCGTGCTACTTGCTGGAGAACGCTTTGGCGGGCGTCTCCGACTCGGACGACTGCCGCACGTCGGTCCAGGCCTGGCGCGTGCTCTGCAGTGCCCGTGTCTTCTCCTGGTCCACCTCCACGTAGTCGACGCGGCTCTCGGAGGGCACCACGGCCACCATCACCGTCGACTTTTGCTGCGGGGAACGCGAAGGCGAGCGTGAACGAAGGTTGAACCGCGACGATGGACAAACACGGAGCTCTATTCCACCACCGAGCATCCAAGAACCAGATTATAGGCTCGTACTGCTGTGGCAAAGAGGTTATAGGTAAAGGTGCAGCATGCAATACTTGATCACGCAATTGCTGGCAGAAGAGACTCTCTATGGAGGATATCTCGGCCTAATCTTCTATGCTGGCCAGATGTCTTCGAAAGGGATGCTGCTATGGCTGGCTTTACAATATAAAAAAAATCACAGCCCTTTGTACATTTTTTGGCGAGCCATCAAACAAAGACGGTCACTGCATCGCGCGCTTTCAGGTGCGCTTCTGCGGCCGTCTGAAACCCTCTTCCGATATTAGGAAGCAACTGGAGCTATGCACTTTTAAATCTAGATTGAAAACGTATTTCTTTAGAACTGCTTTTTGTGTGTAATTATTTGTCCTTCCCCCGCACCTCCGATGAGCACGGTTGGCTACGTACGGTGCGAAAGAAGTTAAAAATACGTACATCCAATACACTACTAGATGAAGGCCTCTCCATGCCATTTATGGGGGATTTTTTGACCACACTTCACCATGCTGATCAGTGCAAACTAGTGAATGGGGGAGCCAGGACCAGTTAAAATATCACACATATCCAAGATTCAAACTCAGGATGCAAACTCTTAGTTCTTTCGGTAAAGTCTCGTAGGTAAAAAATTAAATTAAATTAATAAAAATAAAACAATAATAATAATAAAATAATGATTGTTATTGCTTTATTTTTATTAATTTTAATTTCATTTTTTACCTACGTGACTTTACCGAAAGAACTAAAAGTATGAATCCTTGCAGTCACGAAAGCTTCAAATCTAGAACTCAGGATGCAAGTTCGTAGCGCAATTCTGCTAACCACTCCGCCACGACTCCATCCCCCTTACCTTGCGTGGAGGATTCGGTGACGTGCTCCGCTGTAGGTCCAAGGCCAGGTATTCCACCTTCTTCATTCCGGAACAGGGAGCAATTCCATCAGTTGGAGGAGCACACACCACTGCAGCCTTTGAACCCTGTGCGACACCACAATCAAATGCAAAGACACACGCATGTCAGACTAAATCAACACTGCATTGTGTGCTTTGCTGGCAAATTGGAGCATTAACGCAGAGCAGCAGCGGCGGCAGTGTTCTTCACTTTTACAGCAAACAAATCGATGCCGAGAGATCACAATTGGACACACTCTCACCACTTAACCGTCTCCACGGACGCACTGCCCTTCAAAAAAAAAATCCCCCAATTTTCTTTGAACGAAATGTTGCACTGCACGTGAGCCATCGATGATTGCAAACATTATGCCGTGCCAAAATTCCCCAGTGCTCGGCCTTCAGCGAAGCAACATAGCAGCATCACGACCGGGGTGGGGGTGGGGGGGGACTTGAGTGCGACGAACTGCAAGGTTTTGGCCGTACTGTAGGAACCAAAGTGGGCGCTTAATATTACGCACTCATTAAGCCTCAACGAGGGTCTCTCGCTGGGTTCTTTGCAGGACAGCGATTTTCAACTGTCAGTATTAATGCCACAGGTGACATGTTGCACGTTCTAGATTCGAAGCTTTCGTGACTGCAGGAATCCATACTCTTTGGTTCTTTCGGGAAAGTCACGTAGGTATGATGATTGATTGTGTTGCGATCGAAATGTTATGATTTATTTTATTTTATACCTACGTGACTTTACCGAAAGAACCAAAAAGTATGTTGCACGTTCTCTCACGGAATTTTGCTGAATATCCCCCCCCCCCCAAAAAAAATTGTAAAAATGCCACTCATCTGAAATTATTGTATTTTAAATAATGGCAGGATTATTAGGATAATACTATTTATTCAATATACCATGCTTTAGTATTTTGACATACTGGAGGAAACCAAAGTTCCTTGATAAATCCTAAATAAAAGTAGACAATAACAATAATAGCAGTGAAGAAATCTACTTGCTGTTCTCCCTCCTACATTTGCCTCCTTCCATTGTAGGCGAGTGCCTTATGAAGGGGAAATGTTTGCATGATCTTCTATTTTCGCATGATGCACCAAAAATAACCTCACAAACATTTTTCCAGTTTGTGTATGTATGCACACGAGCAACAGGAATGCAAGAGAGACAGAACGAGGAGCGTATAATCAAGGAAGTAAGTGGCCTTGTGTAGGACACGTCACTAGATGGGACAATGGTTGGTGGCCAAGACGAATTACAGAATGGCAGTCAAAGGAGCGAATGTGCCTGACCATGACATCCACGTGGAAGAAGGAGTGATGAAATTCGCTCGTGTCCAGGTGCCAGGTGGATTGTTGCATTGTGACACCGTGAGAGATGGCAACAGATTGGAGAAAGGCCTTCATTCAGCAGCGAATATATCTCAGCTGATGATAATATAGCATCGGAGTGTGTGGGTGACGTGCGTGTGTAAGTGTGTGGTTAAGCATGCTTCGCTACGAATCCAGTGACCCGAGTTCGATTCCCGCTCACGGCCAATACCAGTGACGATTATCTTAACCGGTCCTGGGGCTCCCCCGGTCGACTCAGCCTCAAATGAGTACCTGGTGTGGTGTGTAAACATCGCCAATGGGGAGACAGCGGCGTGGTGCTGGTCACCCACCCCCCTCGTGTGCCGTTCCGGCCTTTATAGGTGCTCGCTAGCAGCACTTGCCCCAACAGCCTGTGAAGGCTATAACTAGGGGATCTTCGTCATTGTCAGTGTGCTGGGCATTACCGCGCTGGGCATGTTATCCGACGGCTGGTTTGGCCGCATGGGCACGTAGTTCTCCTCGCTGTCCTGCGAGTCCGAGCTGGACGTGGTGCTGTGGGTGGAGGGCGGCCGCGGGCGCGGGCTCGAGGAGAAGCGGAACGTGCTGCTCGAAAAAACACGCGTGCACCACAACACACAAACAAGCATAAAGATCCCCCCGTATAGCCTTGACGGACTGGCGGGGCAAGTGCTGTTAACGAGCACCTATCAAGGCTGGCGCGTCACACGAGGGGGTGGGTGGCCAACACCACGCGCGGCCGCCTTTGTCTCCCCAAGTGGCGATGTTTACACACCGCACCAGGTACTTATTTGAGGCGGAGTCGACCTAAGGGAGGCCCAAGACCGGTTCAGATAATCATCACTGGTGTTGGCCGTGAGCGAGAATCAAACTCGGGTCACCAGGTTCGTAGCGCAGGGCGCTAACCACAATGCCACTGCTCCCCACACACACGCACAGACATGCGTTGAACACGCAAGCACACGTCGTACACGCACATTCATGCAGGAGCTTCCAGGAAACGCGTCATCTCCAGGACGCTCCGAGCAGACACACACACACACGTACTATGGCCGAGCAGTAGAGCGTTTTGCTTTTGTTGTGGAGCTTCATGATTTGAGCACATTGCAGGCATATTAAGCACAACAAATAAATCTGCCTTCATAGTCGACGTCAATGATCCCATGACATAATTCGAAAATACTAAGTCACGTGTGCTTGCGTCACGGTCAAAATTTGGCAAATTTAATAATGACCCACAAATGACCTCATTACACAATTGGGTAAAAGAACATAACATCACCCCCTACTGGTTGACAATACCCGTGCGTAAGTTAGCATCTTATCGATAGCCCTAGACTATAAGAATATAAGAATGAAGAGTAAATGTACTAATCATCATTGTTATCATAACAATGCTCTGCTGTGCCGATCGGAATCAGCGTCGTTGAACGTACTCTGGCCGAGAGAAGCTCTTGGATTCCGGGGAGTGAATTGGAGCCACCATGCACAGATCTGGCAGATCCACAGGCGGAGGCTTGACTGCAACATAGAAGACACAGGGCACTGTGACGAGCGTTACAACTTCTCTTTCATCCCAAGAGATGTTGATGAATGAAAGCTACGATGCATTGAATATTGCATGCCGAAGCTCAGTCCGATGCATGCATAAGATATCTGGAATTGATGCGTGTGAATATTTATAACACAATCACTCTCGAGTCTCCGTGAACAGCTCCTTTTGTTAAAGTCTGTGTGGGTGTAACATGATAAATGAAACGTGTTAATAAAAGATTGGCCGTGCTGATTAAATAAGTAACTGTAAAAGATACAGAAAATGTAAGAAATAACGTTTCTCAACTTTTAAGAGGGAAAATCCCCAGAGCATTTACGAGTATAAAATTATTTTCAAAAATAATTTCAATTATCCAACCATGGTATCACCACCATCGCTAGAGCTCCAGACATAACGACGAGGCGTTAAACTGCTCCAAATAATCGACTGAACAAAGTGCCAACTTCAGCTCCCCACAGTGTGGATCAGCAGGTTAAGCCACACGCATCACCAACGTTGCAAATACTGGAGGAATTCGATAAGCTATAAAGCTCTTTTTCACAATGTCCAGTAGGGACAGGTCAAAACGTTACAACAACAAACACTACAAAACAAGATAGGAGTGAAAAGTATGGGAAACAGTAAGCAAATCACTTAACAAAGTATACAAATAAAACGAAACTATTTTTTATCTTACCAAAGGTCTAGCCCAGGGGTCGGCAACCAAAATAACAAGAAGAGCCATTTCTTTCCAATTCGGTACAAAATTCAGTATTTCAAGAGCCGCAATGCATCTATGTACATACGTACATATCGTTAAGAAACAGCCCGTAAAGAGCTGCATGCGGCTCCGGAGCCGTAGGTTGCCGACCCCTGGTCTAGCCCACTGAGCTATTAGCTTCTGTTTCAGAAGCGACCAGGCCACAAATGATATTTCAACAAAGTGGCTCATCTTGTGGAAATTTACAGCAGCAAAACAATCTACGCAACCGAAGCGCACGTTTCGCCGCGCAAACCAAGCTGCGGCTTCCATCAGCGTACTCCGGCGTTCGTCCAAGCAAGTCACCTTTCCTGTCGGGCTTGAGCTCGCGGTTGACGGGCGGGCGCTGCATGGAGAGCACGGGACTCGACGAGCTGGCCGCCCTCTGCTGCTGGGGACTGGGGACGATGCTGGGCAGGGGCCGCAGCTGGAGAGGCGGCGTCATCGTCGGCGTGCCGCGGGGATGGTGCTTCAGCGACGGGGAATTCCTGCCCAGCGGCGACTGCTGCTGCTGCTGCACGTGAGCCGGCGGGGTCGCTGTGCGTTGGTTCGGGATCGTGGAAGCGGGACGCTGGGGCAGCGCCGTCGGTGGGGGCGGCACCCGGCGAGGAAGCGTGGAGGAGAGGCCGGGAGGGAGCGAGGCCGACGAGCCCGCGGACGACGACGAGGACGACGAGGAGGAGGACGGCGTCGCGGAGCGAAAGCCCGTGTGCACCGGCGGAGGGACCTTCGCACCCAGCGACGCGCTCACCTCCCCCAGCCCGGGGCTCATGGGAATGTAGTTGTCGTGTGGCGAGTCGAGCAGCGGGGCGGCGAGCAGGGGCGAGGGGGCGACCCCGTTGTCGCGGGCGGTGCGGGGGGGAGTGGGCGAGCTCCCGCTCATCGCCACGTAGTTGTCCTCCGAGTCCGAGTCGTCGTCTGCCGGATATTTACTCTGCGAGGGAGGGGGGGATGGGGGGGGGGCGATGTGAATATCGCTGCTGGATACTCCGGTGTCCGAGAGCTGCGTGTAAAACGAAGTGTGCTTGTGCCGCTGTTTCATCACCGACCTCAGCTGGGTCGGCAAATGTGGTGACGTCTCTGGGCAACAGATCTGAAACACAATTCATTGACAAGTGTTATTTCATGATGACAACGACTGCGACGATGATGACAGTAATAATTTACTTCACTTTGGCTATTCGCTGTCGAATGAAGTGCTCCCCATGCTCATCAATTCAAACTTACTTGCTCGTCAAATAGGAAATTGAGCAGCGTTCATCTCCACTGGCCCCCTTGAAAATTATTCCACGTTCCCATGGCAGGGGCCAGTCTCCATGGAGTGAACACTTTTGACATCCAACACATTGGTACTTCATAATAGAGGTTGGAACTTCCTTTTAATTGCGGGTATATTCAGTAACCATGAATACTACGCGCCGTCCGCTTCATAGCGGGCGTTAAGAATACCGTGACGTCATTCAAAATAAGAGTTGGCCATATATGCCGTCGTCATGGTGTAAATTTGGAAATTTTTCTAATTACACAATTGGGTAAAACCACGTCGCAACATTGCACCCCTACTGCCAAAATTTACACGTCTGTGAAATAGAGAGGGCATTTGTGAGTGCCCTGTGCTCGAAGAAATCTCCTCGACTATCATTATTACGATTGTGAACAAGGCTTCGAGTCTCACCGCGGTTGCCCCCGGCACGGTGCGCGCGCATGTTCTCCATCACGGAGATGGTGTGGCTCCTCTGAGTCGCAGTGCCCATCGGCAGCGCCGGGGCCACCGACGGGAAGGCGTCTCCGTCCGACGCCACCCTGTGACCCCGCGGGTCGGACGAGTAGCCCGACGAGGAGGACGAGGAGGACGTGGACTTGGGCGGGCGCGGCGGGGGGGTGTGGAAGCGCGACGGAGGCCCCACGCCGTTGGAGGAGAAGGAGGCGGCCGAGTGGTGGGACGCCACGTTGTCATTGCAGTCAGTCTCCGAGCAGCCCTTCCACTGTTGCTCCGAACACGCGCGGCTTTGGCGTGCAAAAGTATGGGGGGGGGGGGGCGGGGGGCACACACAGACTGCACTGTGAGCCACAAAACTCTAAGGCGTTTGTTTTTTCATTTTTTTCCAGAAAGTATTCTGAAAACGGTTGAAAGACAAAATCTGATCTTGGCTCGAGCCCTTGTTTGTTTGATGGTGGAGAGAAACAGCAACATTTTTCTCCCACAATTGCACTCCATTTTTCTCCCCACTGATCGTACGATATGGAACTTTGTCCATGACGGCCACCAGTGCCTCGACAGAATTAAACTGTTTCCATCAGAGAAATTCCCCTGCCTGATAACCTCAGGGCGGTTCTGCTACGACTGTTTGCTCTTTCGCATGCCCGGTGAATAAACTGAAGCTGCCGTGTATTGTTTGTTTTTACATCTATCAATTATGGTAATTATTTGCTTTATTTTTTTATTCACGGGTTAGTGAATATACCATCAGCCTATGAACGAAGGGGAGTGCTTATTTCACATCATGACCTCTCGAAGAGAATGCAGTAGTCCATGGAATAAATTCACCACCATCTAGGTGGCTAAGCTGGCAGGGCTCAGTGAGCAAATGTGCACATTGATCACCTCCAGTGAAGTGTACAGCTTTGAACGGGGGTGACAATTGGACATTGAGCTACCCCCCTCCACCGCACCTCACCCCCCTAAGGTTTGTAGGATCACGTGATAATGGAAACAGTTTAGTTTCTTCGCCTTTGCTCGTTAAAATTCCCAGCCATCTCCCGGGTCTATACTCGTGTTCATATTCTGTAGGGGGATAAAAAATAAATAAGACTCGAAGAAGTTACAACAACAAGAACAGGTCGTGATGCACTTGAAATTTATAGAATGTCCATGAATGTAAAAATAAAAATCATTAAAGAACTAGAAATTAGACTTCGCTTTGAGCGAGGTTGATAACACACGCTGGACAGCGCAAAGGTATTATCGTACTTTTTTCATCCGTCTAACCCTCCCCGTAAGTCCACCAAGGTATTGGAGGCAGACATTGTATCGGGATTTGAGAGTCCCAAGGTGGCCGGCAAAATCTCGGCTGTAGTTGTTTTGAAGGTCACTCAAGCTATTAATTATTTTGCCAAAAACTTGTTATACCAACATTCGACCACAGTTCAAACAGATGTCTAATTATAATTACTTTGTGATGGACACACGTTACTCATAACACACCATTATAATTAAACATTTCAATGTTAAATGCAATTTCAGGAAATAGGTTTGAAATGGAAAATAATGAATAATTTAAACACTTTTTTTATCAAGGATCACAATAGTTGTTTTTACTCATTGGAGGGGGCTGGCCTTTTAACGACACCATTTTACAAATAATTTCACAACTCCACATAAAGAACCAACCACACAGTTATTAAATGAGAGAAGCAACAGCAGCAACAACCAGGAATTGAAAGAGACCAAACGAGAAACAAAGATTGGTCGGAAAAAGACTGCAAATAACGATGAAGCTGGAGCCAGTGACACCACGAGTCAGATCGGCTTAGCCGGAAACCACCGCTGAGACAACAGCGCAACACCATCAGCAGGCAGCGGACGAGGGACAAACACACGCTTCAAGGCCACCGGGATATAGAAAAACAAGTCTGCATTTCAGGCTGGTAGCGTGTTTTCCCGTCAAGCGGCCGGGAAGCGTTTGCACTGAGACACGGATGGTAAGGCTGCACACACGACAACAAATAGCAGCTTGTAAATTTGGAGAGCACACTCCAAAATCAAATAACATGACATACCAAGTGGGTTTTCGTGGTCGTGCTGTCTTTATAGATTTTCCGATGCGTTTTTGGGTCATGCCACGTATTCATCTTCTTGGTTCTTTCGGTAAAGTCACGTAGAAGGGAAATAATCAAATAATAAAAATTCAACATAATAAAATAATTTTCACGACGTTTCGGCCACAATGCAAGCAGCCATCCTCAGGTGAAGACAGACCTGTTCTTCACCCGAGCATCATCCTCAGACAGACCTGTTCTTCACCTGAGGATGGCTGCTTGCGTTGTGACCGAAACATCGTGAGAATTCTTTTATTGTTTTATTTTTATTATTTTATTATTTCCCTTCTACGTGACTTTACCGAAAGAACCAAGAAGATGAATCCCTGCAGTCACGAAAGCTTTAAATCGAAAAATTCCTCTAGAGCAGTTTGGAGTGAAGATCTCATAGGTAATGACTCAAGTTGCAGTTTATTCTTAGGTTTTTTCGGTAAAGTCACGTAGGTAAAAAAATAAATAATAATAATAAAATAATGGAAATAACATTATTATTTTATTCTTTATTAGAAATAATATTATTTCTATTATTTATTTTTATTATTTATTTTTACCTACGTGACTTTACCGGAAAAACCCAAGAGTATGAGTCCCTGCAGTCACGAAAGCTTTAAATCGAAAAATTCCTCTAGAGCAGTTTGGAGTGAAGATCCACGTATTGTTTGGGCACGATGCCCGACGTTTCGCTTCAGGTGCTGGGAGCATCTCGAATTCCTGAAGAAGCTCCCAGTACATGGCGTGACAACGTGGCAAGAAACATGCGGCACAACCCAAAAAACGCAACAGACCTTAGGGAACCAATTATGGAATCCTTAAAATTCAACAATTTCCTGAGTGCACGGCACAAACAGGGAAACACGCTCCCGCCACAAACTGCAACCAGTTACTCTTTGGTTCTTTCGGTAAAGTCCCGTATAAAGATAAAATAATAAATTAAATAATAGCATACGACGTTTCGATTGCAACATAAGCAATCATCATCAGGTATAAAAGAAATAGCAACAAAAATCTAACCAGAAAACTATAGACAGACATATAAGCAGACAGATATCACAAAGATACATAGAGAGAGAACACACATCGGCACACTGTGATATCTGTCTGCTTATATGTCTGTCTATAGTTTTCTAGTTAGATTTTTGTTGCTATTTCTTTTATACCTGATGACGATTGCTTGTGTTGCAATCGAAACGTCGTCGTATGCTATTATTTAATTTATTATTTTATCTTTATATGTGACTTTACCGAAAGAACCAAAGAGTAATTCCTGCAGTCACGAAAGCTACAAATTAAGATTGCAGCCAGTTAGTAACCCAGGTTTTTCTGGAGGCCCTGGTAAATCGTCGAGTTTTATGAAAGCCCACGGATTGTGAAGCGAACGAGCACCAGTTGGACGGAGACACGGAAGCGAGCCACAAGCCAGCGGCGACCTCGCAACTCACTCTGCTTGCCCCTCGGGGGTTTTGGTTACAAAATCTTCCAGCAGAAGGTAATCGTCTTCCTCCTCTTCCTCCTCCTCACTATCTGACGCCCCATCCGGATTGGCACGTGCGACGCTGATTCATTTCGAGGGGGTTATACGGGCAAAGACTTACTCAACAAAACATGCAGTTTGACAGCAAATGAAAAGCAATCGCTGGATATAACCAGCCAAAGTTTAAGCCGCGTACAGGGGGATGATAAATTACATTCCGTTCAGAGTCGCTGTGCAGAAAGTGAAACAGGTAATGAAAGTAGGGCAAATTTCCCTTGAAAATATGATGTCCAATGAATGTTTAATAATTTGTAATAAAGACTTGAAATAATTTGCATTGCAAGCAGTTGTGATAATGTATCAAATGAGATGCCAAATAATTACACGTAAAATGTAGCAGAGTGCACTCAGATGAACTTGTTAAAATATGTGCATATGAAATAATTGTACGTGAAAAACTAGATATTAAATGCACCACTCACATGTGAAATTGAAAAAAACGAAATGCACTTAAATAAACTCGGCGCGTACGGCTCTCGTGTAGAATTTAACTTGTGTAAATCCACCGGAATGACGATGACGCGTTAATGTACTCATTAAAGTCATTAGCGCAGCTCTCAATTATGTTGCCTTATCGCACAATGCAACGAGGCAGGTTTTCTCCGCTAACGAGCGATCGTACAATGAGGCCCTTGGCCTCGAGCATTGATGACGCACATTTCAGATTCAACAAAAGTTACAAAATGCTGGATAACTGCATGAACAAAAGAACTGCAGATGACATACGTGTTTGTCTGTACCACTGTAGCCACCAACCAGCCATGAACATTAATTAAGCCAAGTTACACAATTAAAACCAATTGGCGCATTCGTCAGGCCTGTGATTATGGGATTAATGCTTGGATGTTTACGTAGGGTTAATGCTAAGCTGATAATTCACCGCCATAACACCACCATCCCCAGACAGTTGAAAATTTTAATTTCAATATTTTTTCTCCAACTTCCACTATCTCGTTTGTATTTAATCGATGCATCAAAGCATCGCTACCTGTCCAAATAATGCCTCATTGTTCCTATTGAATTCAAGAAAATGTACGCAGTAGAGTTTGGAAAATACTCTCCTGTAGTAAGAATTTGACTGAATGTTTATGAGCGAATTCAGCACTCACAAGATCACAGGCAGCAAAGCCTTGGAAGAGGCAGAATAGAAAGTGGTGGGGCTTCCCCAAATCATTGCACTTATTACAATTCGTTAAACTCATTACAATTAGTGACACACTAATGAATAATTTAAAAGAATTGGGTCGTCAATTATATGGTTCAGGAATAACTCAATTACTCAATTATATTGTAACAATTATGTAAACATTGCAATTAATTCAATTGCCATGTTATGGTCTTAACAGCCTCAACCAAAATGTCAAGGATTAGTAATACGCTTGTAACTCCAAATTTCTTAAATGAAAAAGTCATCCAAACATGTCGCAATATTAAAAAGATTCGGCTCATCAAACAAATTTGGTGAGCTAAACCCGAATGATCTGAGCTGTGGTAATTGAGTTAAAATTGATTTCGAGCATCACCACGTTTCAACTTGAGACAGCGAAAAGTTCCCTGCCACGTGTTTTTTACAAAGCTGGGAATGTACGACGTGTGTTGGATACACTTTTAGATAACCTTGTGCAGCAAACTGCAAGCAATGCCCACTACAAAGCAAAACAGGTAAAAACATCAACTTCACAGATGCGTGACGAACATGAAAAAAACAAATGTTTTGCTTTGTGATGAACCTTGATAATAATGTGTGTATGACTTGAGTCATGGGGGTAAAATAAATCTCGTCGTGAAATGACTTCAGCCAGCAGTGGATCGCATCGACTCAGGGAATGAGCCTTCGAAGCAGGCTAACGGAATGACCTCCTGGACATCTGTGGAAAAGAGCTTCATAGCTCCTCGGATTCCTCCAGGATAAATCAAGATCCTGACTTCTGGAGTCACTCCTGCTGACATTGTTTCAGCCCATACTGTACTATGGCTCCTTCATTCTCTGTAATTCTTTGTCCATAATCCCAGTGGTGGCTCCTGCAAAATCTCTCAGGGGGGGCAAATGTCTGGATGATTGATAAGGATAAGGTCCACCCATGCAATGGATAAATTAACAGCTTAAGCATGTAAAGGCAACTTCACTTCTTTAATATTAATGAAAAATAAAGTGACTCTTACAATACATCTTGTTTGTTTCTATACTCACTATTAATACAATCCACTCAAGTTTCTTTTATTAAAGATTCCACTAGGTGGCGACAAATTATATTGTTGTATGAAACGTGCTTACGTATGATGACGTAAGCACGTTAGGGCGAGCCCTCCCGGGAGCCATAGAGAATGCATTGGAGCGCCCCCGTTCGAAAAAAAACATCTTTGAATGTAAGTCTATGGGGCCACTCGGGGCGATTCTCAGCCGGAGTGAAATCGCCCAAAAAGAGGCGGTACTCCACAGAACGTGACATGACGCTGATTGGACTATATCCAGAGGCACAGTGACGGCGAGCGTGACTCTGTGGTTGAATGACATTGGTGGTGCGTCGCCCAATCGCCCTAATGAAGAAACCGCCCCTGCATAATCCACTATAACATAAAAGCTCAAATAAAACTGCTTTATTTTACCAAGTAAGGTCCAGTAAACTGTATAGACACGCAAACTCCAAATATCGAAATCACGACCATCCTGTATACCAGGCGAGGTAGTTAACATCTCCTAGCTACCGTGATGATGATGAGAGAGAGAGAGACGCAGACTCCAAATATAGAGCAGGCGTCAGGGTCGGGATCGAAACCACAACCTCCTGTAGACCAGTATTCATGAAAACCTTTTGTCAATACACTGCTGGATGAATGCCTTCCCACGGCGTGTTGATCATCGAGTCCCATAATTCATCACGCTGGTTAGTGCGAGTGGGGGAATGGGAGGGTCAGAATCAGTTCAGATATTACTCGCCACTGATGTTTAGTTGTGGCCAGGAATCAAACTTCCAGTTGTTAGTTTCACGATGTAGTATGATGACCACCGTGCAAGTGCTCCACCGCGCGTCCGATACACTGACACCATTCAGCCATCAACATGGGCCAAGGCAAATTAAGCGACAACGTCAATTCAAGAAAAGGGTTTTGTTTGGTTTTCGGTGTTTGGACCGAGACCATAAACCAACAACCACAGTTAATAACCCAATTTTAACCGTAAGTGTTTCTGATCTGACACGGACATAATGAGCCCTCCGAGCCACCTGGCCACCTCAGGCCCCTACTAAAATAGTTTAACAAGTTGCGGTTATTGAGTTAGATTGCTTTAGATCTCTGTCAGCTTCAGCTTGGACAACGAAACGTTCCTTATCCTGATACACTGCTCTCAACGCTGTCGTTGGTTTATTTAGAGAGGCTGCTGGGATACTGGGTTTGAATCTAGGCTGCTACTTGTGATTAAACCAGTTTCTAAAGTTAGATGGTCTCAGCACAGTCACCAATGGCTGCACAAAATAACATCACATCACATTTGTTCTGTTTTTAATTTGTATACATTCCAGCGCTGAGAATTGTAATATCATCATCTGTTGCGTGACGAACGTTACTCTCATATTCTGCACGGGTGGGAAAGTACTGCCCTCTACTGTGTGCACCAGAGGTTAGTTGAAGAAGGGATCTCAGAGGTAGCTTTGTCATATCCACTTCCGTGGACTGTTTTCTAATACACAAAGGGTTTGCACCGCTCTCCAAGAGATGCGGATGGATTCTTAGTCTCGAGACCGGACAATGATATAACAACCATTATAAAATCGGGTGGGGGGCGGGGGAAACGGAAATATCGTTGTGACTCTCATCACCACTTATACCCCAGGATGCAGTAAGACACGGGCAAAACAAACTAGAGAGAGCGAGAGAAATGGACTCTGCCGCACCTGCGCTTGGCCGTCTCAAACTCCGTGAGGCACAGGTAGTCGCTCTGGTCGTCGTCGCTTCCTGCGCAGCCGCGCGGCGGTGGCGGCACGGCCGTAGGCCACCGGTCCCCACGGGCCCCGCCGGCGAGGGGCACCGGCACGGGCTGCGGGGCGTACATGGGCGGCAGGGACCCCGAGAAGGCCGACGACGATGACGACGGCGGCGGCCCGTGGGAGGAGAAGCCCTGCCGCTGCGGCAGCAGCCGAGGCTGGGACGTGAGCAGCGACGGCGGCGGCGGACCGCCCAGGTGGTGGCCGTGGGGGCCCAAGCCGGACGGCGCTGCCATCGGGTGCTGCACCTTCACCACGTCTGCACACCAAAGCAGCGGGGGGGAGGGGGGGGGAAGAGTTTGTTAGGCACACCTAGGGGCTTCCCTTGCAAAGTTAGAAGTCAATTAGTTCATGAGAATCGCAGTTTAAACTGTTAATTGATGAGCATTGTGTCCAGTGAATAGGTAACAAAGCTACGGGTCCAGCCCTGAAATGACTTGTACTCGCCACTACTGCTCGAGGATATGTTGGCCTACTCTTCTACGCTGGCATTGGCAGTCACGAGTACCTACACACTTTACCCCACTGTCACAACAGGCTGAAGTAGGGACATAACCCATCGTGGGGGAGGGACGGGATGGGAATGGACCAGTTATGAACAGAGAACCAATTCCATAAAAGCCTTGCCTCGATGTCTTTCTAATATTAGCCACATTCTCTATCAAAGCTCCCAGTTTTTAAAAGGAGACATCAATGGTCAACGCAGCTGTGCGCGAGCAGCTGTTTGCGGTCTGTGTTTTGTGCACGTGTGTGGAACTTAACTTCCACCCCCTGATCCCTCCTCCAGACGCCACAACAGCATTTTAAGACAGAGTGGCATTTAGTCGCACGACAAATGCAGATGGTTTTGCGCTGTGTAGTGTAATGTGTTTCTGTCGTCAATTTGGAAACATCATTTGTTACGGTTATAGTCAAGAAACTTGACGACGACGACTTATCGATGAAGTACTGGCCACAGAAGGGCATTCGAGAAGCAGCCTGCATGAAGTGTGTGAGCCAAGCGGAGACAGAACCGTTACATTTGACCGTCCCGTGAGGAATAGGACGGATTCCAGCTACGCAGGATGTCATGACAATGTAATTCATAAAAAATATTGTAACTTAACGTGAATGCAGATATTACTGGGAGAATATATTGTACGGGCCAATCCAAGCGGAAGTGGGGGCTTCAACAGCAACATTCAAAACAAAACAAGATAAATCCCAATCATAAGGGACTAGCAATCAACCGCGCGCCTCAATAAAGACAAGCTGTGGAAAATATAGATAAGGGGCCAACACGACCACACAGGAAGGTGTTCAGCATCCTCAGTAAGCAAGGGTGTGCCCTCCCCCCTCCCCCCCCTTCTTACACGGTCCCCGAGTTTTGAATTACAACTCTGCTCGGCATTCGTTCGTTGGATTAAAGAAAACATTTTTTGCACAAACAAGAAGCGGCGGGTGCAGGAAGGCCGCGTTTGTCACGCCCTCGCAATGCAAACGACGCGGCGACCCGATCCTCGGGCTCAATCTTCCGGCGCGGCACACGGGAAGCGGCGGCAAAATCGATTGTGGCGGACCTCGGGCGGCCGCCTATGAATAGACGTCCGCGCGCGGCAAACAGGAAAGCGTGCGAGCAGCAACACGCGCACGCGGGAAGAGGCGAGGCAACATCTGGGCCGGCCGACGACCCCCCAACCCTCCCTCCTCCTCGGCCAGGAAACTGATTTGTGCATCACGAGACGAGTCGCCGCCGATGATGATGATGATACACGATGATGATACACGATGATGATACACGATGATGATACACGGTTTCAAGGGAATCGGTGAGCGCCGTGCCGATGGCGAGCGCTGGCAGAGCTCCTGCCCGGATGGACACGCGCTCACAATCGTGCGTCTTGCTCCGTGCGGTATCGTGATTGTTATTTTTTTTCCCCCCAGAAGTGTTATTCTTTCTAGATTTGAAGCTTTCGTGACTGCAAGGATTCATATTCTTAGGTTTTTTCGGTAAAGTCACGTAGGTAAAAAATTTAAAATTTAAATTAATAAAAGTAAAATTTAAATAAAATTAAAATCACAACGTTTCAGAGGCTTGTGTTGCCTCCAAAACGTCGTGATAATTTTAATTTTAATTTTTTACCTACGTGACTTTACCGAAAAAACCTAAGAATAAGTGTTATTCTGATTGTGATATCGGCATCATGTGAGGAGGTGAAAAATTCATTCGGATCTCTGACAGAGCATTACAAACAACACCCTGTCACTTCAAGCGACCTCTCATCCCACACAAGGGAAAGTAACATTCATCGGATAACAGTCAAACTGATATTTTTAATTATCCAGAGCAGGAAACTCGTCAAATTAAGTGCAAAACCAAATTTAGTTTCAATGCTTTTTTTGCAGACACGGTTAACTAACTAGCCTAGAGAACCCGCTATAATCAAGGGGTTCATACTCCACCTGGACTTGAACCCAGGCTTTCAAACGGTGCTCGCGCTCTGACCTCGGAGCAACGTGGCCACCTCCATATCCTGCCGCGTGTGACTTACCACTCGTGCCTCGTGCGCGCACTCTGTACGATTTTTTGACATTTATTTATTGAATGAAAGTTGTGTCATTATAGACTATTCTTAGGTTTTTTCCGGTAAAGTCACGTAGGTAAAAAAAAAATTTAAATTAATAAAAGTAAAATAAAAAATAAAATAAAAATCACGACGTTTCTGAGGCCTCAGAGTAAAATAAAAAATAAAATAAAAATCACGACGTTTCTGAGGCCTCAGAAACGTCGTGATTTTTATTTTATTTTTATTTTACTTTTATTAATTTTACTTTTTTACCTACGTGACTTTACCGAAAAAACCTAATAATATGAATCCTTGCAGTCACGAAAGCTTCAAATCTAGAATCATTATAGACTGTTTGTCTTAAGCGCCCGAAATATGATTAGATGAGTGCACAAGTAATACTCGCGCAGTTTTGTAATTTCAACTGAACACGCAAATATGTATTGCTTACATCAATCCACCAAATTTATGTTAATGTAATTAAACTAGCGCTGCTCCAGTAAGCAATGAATAACCCATAACAAAATGGGGCTTTAACGAGGACCGTGCATTAGGATGACATAACATAACCAACTTAGGATTTCCAATGTATAAATACACCACCTTGGTCATACAGATAGCAATGCGTGAGTCAGCATGGAATGAACTGAATGTAATCGCACGTTGATGATTAAACACAAACGCATGACCCACGCCTGCTCGCATGAGGCATCAGCCACACATTTCACACGTCTGCGCATCCCCTCTGGGTGTGGGATGGGGTGGGGGTGGTGGTGGGTATCGGAGCCATCATCATGATCATCATCATCATCAAAGCGCGCCGACGGCACGGGGAGACGAGCGGCGGCAGGCGCACACTCGGTGCCGATTACAACGGGGGAGGAAGTGGCGGCCGACACCGCCCTGCGTCCTCCGGCTCAGGAAGCCGGGCAGGTCCGGCACAAAGACGAAAATACGACGAAAACATTCGCGGATGGACGGTTTAATGGATGGACGGACGGACGGACTGCCCGACTGACAGAGGGGCAGCCTGACGGACACCTGGACAGCCGAATCGACGGATAGATGGATTAACTGGCGGACGAATAGACTAATGGGCACAGGCATGACAGACGGAGGGACGGACAGAGAGATGGATGGATGGGCACAGTCCGCATGGGTGGTGACGCACAGGAAAGCGTGAGCAAGACGTGCGTACGGCTCGAGGTATACTGTGCACTCAGTCAGGGAGGCCAGCCCTGGAAGCAGCCACATGTCACACAAATTCCAGAAGCTAGGCATCAAAATGCATTACCTCGCCCAATGTGATTACGCAGTGTTTATTATTCGAGCCAGGACACTGGGCAGCCTGAAAAACATTTGCCCTCCGCTGCAATGCCAGTGTTGGAACAGTACGAGGGGTTCGAAGTAACGGGGGGCAGGCTGCGTGTAACACTGGTGGAAAAATGTCATTAACATGGATTTCATTCATCTGGACCTGCCTGCGATTTAGCACCGCAGACAATCGTGCGATAAGTACGACCCTGGCGAGTTTGATGCAAATCAGAAGGAGTGGAGCTGATTTGTGAAGCCTGCGTTTATTCCTCTAAAATGTTTCAGAAAGGTGCGAAGCTGCTCATGAGATAGCAAGTCTAAGCAAAGGGCAATACATCGTCTGCCAAAAAACTAGACAGAAGGTAATTTTAGGAAAAGCAATTGTGTGTGTGCGCGTGCGTGGGTGTGTAAATAGTTGGAGGAAATATTTAATTCAAAATCAGATTACTCTCTCCCAACATCCATCAATTCTGCCAATGTCCACCCCACCCCCCTCTCCCCACAACCCAAACCTCCCTTTCTAAACTCCCAGTGGGGTGGTTGATTTTTTAATGCACTAATGCACCACTTTTTCTCCCTCCCGCTCTCTCTCTCTCTCCCCTTTCTGCCAAAGCTGGGGGGGTGCCCTGTGCCCTTCATGCATCGCTAACGTACCTCGCACATTTATTACGGACCCGCCTCTCACTGCATCAGGCATTTCAAGCCCTCGCTCCACTTTTTGTGAGAGATTGCCCCATATGCAATGCAGCCTGCCCATTGCTAATTCCCACTTGGGATCGTTAACCCTTCAACCATTGGCTTTACCGCCTCTGGACTGGGTTGCCCACGGGAGGTGTTCCCTTTAAGTGCTATTACGAGCGTGTGTCTGTTCGTATGTGTGTGTGTGTGTCCGTGTTTGTAGGGATACATGACAACTCACTTCACCCCAAGATTCAACGAACTCTCGTGATTCTGGGTCATTATTCGATTCAATCGTTGATTGTTTTGTGCCCTTGTGGTGTGCACAGAATCCACAGGCCTGAATGAAACAACCACATACAACATGTAAATGCATTGTTAATTAAGAATGCATGGCCCTCTATCAATCCACTGCTGGAGGAAGACGTCTCCACGCCGTATCAGTCACGTGGGGGTTGCTTAACCAGACTTACCCATGCTGGTCATTGGCGGCCAATAAAGAAGAGGCACAGGACAAGTTTATTTAACAATTTAAATGCCTATACTCTTTGGTTCTTTCGGTAAAGTCACGTAGGTAGAAAAATAATAGATCACGACGTTTCGGTCGCAACACAAGCAATCGTCATCAGGTGGGACAACCACAGAAAGAAAAGACTGCCGCTAGTGATGGGCAGAAACAGAAATCAAGTTTCATCATGGGACCTCCTTTGCCAGTACCAAA